TCCACAAGGGACCTTGACCATGGAGAGATGTGATACCCCACCTTGGCCAAGTGTTCACACTTCACATCACTACTAATGGGACAAGGTGGTGTCCTAGATCTCCTGATGGGCTGTCATCTAATCCATCTCACCACCCCAAACGTTCAACCCCATGGAAGTATCAGGCATATCTAGACTGTGGAGCCTTCTGGGCTGTTCAGAAATGCAAGTGTCATGAATAATGAAAGATGGAGGGACTATTGCAGATTAGAAGAGGGTAAACAGACGCAACAACCACATGCAAGGTGACAACCTGCTATAAGGGACCATTTGGGGGCAAGGGGGATTCTAGAGTAGACAGTGTGTCAGGTAGTGTCACTCAATCCGTGACTGTATGGTTGTTGGGTGTAGTGACAGGGGACAACTAAGTAGAAGGTCCTGGTTTCAGGAGATGCTTCTGAACTGTTTGCAGGCGAAGTGCCTGCATGCTGTCAACTGACTTTCAGATATAAACAGATACGCAAATGTAAGTGCAGGGAGAGAAGGCAAATAGAACTGGACGTGAGCAGTCGGTGCATCTAGGTGAAATCGAAGAGCTGAAGAGTAGTAGTTCATTGTATTAAGTGGTTAGCTTGTTTGTAGATGTCATTTTTTAATTGGAATTTTTACTGAGGTGATTGTAGAGCCACATGCGATTGTCAGAAATAAAACAAAAACGGTCCTGGGTGCACTCTGCTCACTTTCCCCTAAAGTAACATTTGGGAAACTATAGCATGGCAGTCACATGGACACAACACGCAGCGCTCTCCACACTGCCCTGGTGAGACTCATGACAATCTCACCATGGCTAGGCTGGTATGTCAAGGTCCTGAGGGCGCCTTCTCCACAGGCTTCCTGGCATCGCCCTCCTGTAACCACACCTGCTTCACTCCCCCTGCAGCCCACCACCCCTGGCAGCTCTTCCTTTTTGCTCCGTATCTAAAGTGCTGTCATTTCTGTGATGCTGTGTAAGTGGAACTGTCCGGTATGTGTGTGGCCTCTGGGAAGGCGTACTCATTCAGCACACTTCCCTGGGGCCTCATACCATGCTGCACCTGTGGCGCCCTCCTTTTGATGGCTGAGCCATGTTCCAAGGTGTGGATGCGCCACAAGGTATATTTAACTGCTCACCCGTTGAAGGACATTTGGGCTCTTTCCAGTTTTTGACTACTACAAATAAAACTGCTATGAATGTTAATGTATGAATCTGTCCTTTTCTTAAGATGTCAAATTTGGAAAGAAAAATATGAGCTGCAAAAATATGCTGAGCAACAAGTAAGCCAGAGTAAGGACCCTTCATGGCCTTGTAAGCTTCCCAAAGGTGACCTCTAACCCTACAGTAGCCTCCATGGCTTCCTCCTTGACTACACCCTGAAATGTGGGCAGCTCAAGGCTATGCCTGAATTGCCTGCAAGAGGCTCCATGTTCCTGAGCAAAGGCGCCAAGTGGCAGGGAAGGGCTAAGCAAAGCAAGCACAGAGAAGCAGCCTTTCCACAGAGCAGACACACAGCCCCCCAGGGTGGGGTTTCAGCTGAGTGTGCAAACTTGCACAGCACAGGAGAGGGTTCTTCTTGTTGTGGCAGGGAGCTGGTGTTCCTGGCCACCTGACTTTTTGGCTTTGGCCAGAAATAAATCCTTGTTTGAGGGGAACCACTTCTGGGCATCTCCTTCTTCCAGAGGCTTGTTGGGCTTTGGGTGCAGCACCCCCAGAACCTGAGCCTGCTTGTTTCCATGGGCACCTCACTGGGTCTTGGTCTGTCCTGCCTGGTTCTTCACCAGGTTCAGTCCAGACAGACACCCTAGAATGTGGGGCACCCCACCTTGGTAACAGGAGGGTGGGTGCACTTGGAGGGACCGTGTATTTGTCTTGTCAGTGGCCAAACAGGTGTTTGCCAAGCACTTGCCTGTGCCGGGCTCTGCTCTGCGTGCCAGCACAGTGGAGGATGGGGCAGACGAGCCTGCGCAGGGTGGAGGCAGCCTTCAGCAAGCGAGCAGGCACAAGGCCTGACCCTGTGGAGAGGAGGCTCTGAGGAAACCCCTGCAGGCTGATAGCTGACGAGCCTTTTTGGGGGGGGGTGCAACTTGGGGTACAGAGAGCCTGGCAGAACTGTATGTGGGCCCCTGAAGGACTGAAGGGCAGGTTTGGAGAGCTTGACCAGGCAGTGATCAGCAATTGGTCCAGAAATGCCCTAAGTCGTCTGCTCCAAGCCCTGCCCGTCCAGCTAGCTAGCTATACACAGAGCCCCTGTGAGCAGGAAGGAGTGCACAGGACAAGGCCACCGCAAGGAAGCAGTGGGTCGGTGGGCATGATGCCTGAGCCAGCCGGGACCTGCTAACAGCCAGTAATGGGGCTTGACTAGATGACCTCCCAGGTGCCCCCGCTGTGAAACCTCCAACGTCCTGTGTTGCTCCCTGGCTTCGGGGGAGGGGGCTGACCCTCAGTGACCTGGCCATGTGTGTACCGCCCTGAGGCCCTACAGAGCATGGGACTGCCTGCCGGCCAGGGGGGCAGAACTCTAAGGGGTGTCCCAGGCTTTCCAGTATCTTACACGTGAATGTGTCAGTTAGTGAGCAGATACAGGGGTGTGTGAGGCGGACGTGTCACCCACACGATGGCATGACAGCACCCACATGGGGGTGTGGTAGCACTGCCCGGGCCCTCTGCAGACTGCCTGTGCACCAGGCTGGAGTGGGGACCCGTTCTGTCTCAGGTTTGGCTGCGCCGGGAGAGGCCGGCCTCAACTCCCGGGCTTTTCAGGCCCGCCTTTACCCTCAGCCGCTCTCTGACCTTCCCGCAGGCAGGGGTGACCCGGGGGACAGGGGCCGTCAGGTGGGCCGACGGAGGGAGAGCAGGACCCAGCACAGGTCGGGGCGCATTGACCCTGCGTGGACCGGGAGTCCAGGCCTCAGCGCGCGCACGCAATCCGCACGCGGTCCGTATGGCCGTTGGAGACCCGCGCCACGTGGCGCCTGTTGGGGAACCGCGCTCCCAGCCCGACGTCGGGGAGGAGCCTGGGACGGGGGCGGGGCGCGGGCCCGGAAGCGCTCTGGCCCCGCCCCCGCCTCGTCCTCGCGACCGCGAGGCCGGCTGTTGCCTATAAAGTTTGACGGCGAGCCGGCGCGGGTCACGTGAGCGGAAGATGGCGGCCCCGGCAGGCGGCGGCGGCCCCGCGGTGTCGGTGCTGGCCCCTAATGGGCGGCGCCACACGGTGAAGGTGACCCCGAGCACCGTGCTGCTGCAGGTGCGACGGCGGGCGGCGGGCGGCGGGCGGCGGGCGGCGGGTCGGACGCGGCGCCGGGCCTACTCCTGAGGTTGGTTCCGGAGGGCTACTGGGGCGGGGCCCGCGGCGGCCAATGGGCGGCCTCTGAGCGCGGCCCCGCCCACTTCCGCTCGGCGGGGCTCCGCGGGTCCCTGCGGGGTGGGGCGGGGCGCACGGCGGACGCCGAGCCCTCTCCCGGGGAAGCGGCCCGCGCCCCGCGCCCCCGGCTGCGGCTGGGTGTCGGTCCTTTGTGCCTGGGCACGGATTTGCTGAGTCACTCGTTGCATTTTCACCGGGCAGCTGGGTGACCTGGAATTCCTACACCGGAAATGCTTATTGGGCCCTGCTCTGCAGGTGACAGTGTGCCAGCAAGTGTCTGCAGGGAGGAGCCCCCAGGGTGGGGTGCAGGGGCCGTGAGCCCCCGAGGAGCTCAGCCTGCCTCCCGGGCGCCACAGGACCCTCAGGGAGAGGAGGGTGAGGTGCTGCAGGCGGGGGGCCCAAGTCTGAACTTTATTCTCTGGGTGAGGAGCGGTGCCCCCGAGTGTATAAGGACAGGTCCGTGGGCATGGCCTGCGGAGCCGGGTGGTGGCGCAGACCCAGTAAGGAGGTGGGCGAGGGGACCTGAGTGGCTGTTCTGTCCCGCTGTTTGTACTAGGCTTTGGCAAAACCAGTAGTTCACCAAGAGGTGGACTCCCTGCCCTCGGCAGCCTCTGTGCCGCTGCGCTTGCCAGGCGGAGTGGCCAGGCAGACACACTGGCTCACCGTCCTGCGTCTTACCTCTAGGTTCTGGAGGAAACGTGCCGGCGACAAGACTTCAACCCCAGTGAATATGACCTGAAGTGAGTTTTCTCTGGCCAGGCTGCAGGGCCCACCTGTCCCTCTTTCTCCCAGGCCCTGCCTGGGTCTTAAACCAACAGAAGTTCATTTTTTCGAAGTTCTGGAGGCCAGAGGCCCCAAAGGTGTCGGCAGGGCCACATTTCCTCCAGGGCTCTTGGTCAGGACCCTTCCCATGTGTTCCAGCTTCTGGTGGCCCCATGGCTTATGGCTGCGTCCCTCCAGCCTCTGCCTCCCTGTATCGTGGCTTCTCTTCTGTCATTTGAAAGGACACTTGTCATTAGATTTAGGACCATCCTCATGCAGGAAAACCTTGTCTCGAGATCCTTAACTCAGTTACATGGGCAAAGAGCCTGTTTCCCAGAAGTCCTGTTCATGGGCTTTGGGGTTAGGATGTTGGTGTACCTTGCTAGGGGCCACTGCAGAGGGTCCTTGTGCATTCAGTGTGTGAGTTCCTGGTGGGCTCTAAAGATAGAGGAAGTGATCATGGGAAAGGGGGAGAGTCTTCCAAGCTGGTGCTTGTGTCCCTGGAGTTGTGTGGGCATTTATCCAAAGAGAGGGCTCTCACCAGATTTCCAAGGGGCTAAAAACAACAAGAGGGTCAGAACTGTGCCCTGGTCTCTGTCCCACCTGAGGAGCTTTTCACCTTCGTGGCCTGTCTTTGCACCATGGCTGTTCTCACATCAGGGGCAGAGAGGAGCTCATGGCATGAAGCCTGGTTTCTTGGGCCTCCTGCCAGGCGCACTGTCACAGAGCTTCAAGCCCTCTCTGTTCTTCTGTGACCTGCCTGAAGCAGTTTTAGGACTGTTCTGAGCAGAGCAAGGTGCACGCCCTTCAGCCATTCTGTGTGTTCATTTCCAAGTCTGTGCTGGGCCTGTCGCTGCTTCCCAATCTGCAAGAGCAGCCCCCTGTTTTGCCCCAGAGGGCAGCCTGTCTCCCCTTTCTCCCTTGCCCTCCCGTCTGCTCCAACCTGTGTCAGTCTCGCTTCTTCTTTCCTTGGGAAGCCCCACTGTCATCCACGACCTGCCCTGTTTGTAGGCTGGCAGGCTGTGTGTGTGTTTCCAGCCTTGGGGGCACTGGCTGGGGACTTGCTGCATGGGCACTAGAGTAGCTCACCAGGTACCCTGCCCCCTGTAGGGCCGTACTGGGAGCTGGGCGGGAGCTGAGTATGTCAGGCTCTGTGGAGCAGCCTGTGGACTCATCTGTTTCGCAGGTTTCAGAGGAACGTGCTTGACCTCTCTCTCCAATGGAGGTTTGCCAACCTACCCAACAATGCCAAGCTGGAGATGGTGCCCATCTCCCGGAGCCGTGAGGGGCCTGAGAACATGGTAGGCAGCTGTCAGGGAGTGTCCGGCAGAAATACTGCCTCTGGCTTTCTCATTTGGGCTGTTTGGACCACAGGATGCTTTAGCAAGCTGAGCAAATGGAGAGGGGTTGCTGCGGGGTTGGGGGAGCACAGGGCTGTGTGCAGAGGGCTCTGCAGGATGAGGCAGGACCCTCTCACCCAGTACTGCCTTCTCAGGGTCAGGCCAGGGCCACCACTCTCCTCCTGTGGTTGATGATTGGAAAAGAGACTGCTTGTTCTTTGCTCTGAATTAATTTTTGGGGTGCAGTTAATCATGCTCTCTGTCTCAGCCTGAGGTTTCTCGTCATAGTCCCCAGTAATCTTAGTGCCTGTAGAGTTCTGTGGGGGGTTGAGTGCAGCCTCGGTTCTGGGATGAGGACACGTGTTCCAGGGGTCACCTCCAGCAGGTCTTGTCTAGGCCGCAGCCCTCGTTTCTGACCCCAGCCCACTGTGTTCTGCCCCATCAGTTCTTTCAGGTCCTAGAGATGTAGCGGACAGCAGCAGTGTCACTGCGGACAGACTGGGGTCACCTCCAGCAGGTCTTGTCTAGGCCGCAGCCCTCGTTTCTGACCCCAGCCCACTGTGTTCTGCCCCATCAGTATCTTTCAGGTCCTAGAGATGTAGCGGACAGCAGCAGTGTCACTGCGGACAGACACACAGACCCAGTGGCTGCAGTGACAGTTGCCGCTCCTGTGTGCCCCTGCCAGGCCCTTTGCTTAGTAAGCGTGTGTTTTGCCAACACTGCAAAGAAGGCTGTTTCCATACATGTGGAGAGACAAGGAGACTTGGGCCCTGGGGCTGTTAGTCGGTTCTCCAGACCCCACCAGGTGTCAGGTGGCTGGGACCAACTCTGACACTCTTTTATATCAAAACTGTGGTTCTCAAAGTTCCACGTGGATGGAACCCTGACTTCCCTTGGGGGCTCTTTGCGGGTGATGGGGAGACCCCGTCCCACTTTCACACAGAGTAGCTCCTTTGTTTTGTGTTGGGATTTAACAGAAATGTGTGCTTGGGCCAAATGGCAGGGTAGCTGTGATTTCGGGAACCGAGTGCTGGCTGGTCCCCAGGCTCGGCACCATGCTCACAGGGTCAGACGCACTCTCATTTCCAGGGCTCTCTGCTTGTGTGCTGTACACAAGTAGTGTACCTGTCACTCGGCAGAGATGCCAGAAAGGAATTTTCCCCCTTTTGGTTATAGACTTGAGCTCCTATTTAGGAACATGATTGTCTAAAAAAAAAGGACTTATAAAAGCAGTACGCTTATTAATTTTAAAAAGTTCAGAAAACAAGATATTAGTTATCTGTTGGTTTAACAAATTCCTCCAAGACGTGGCAGTTTAAGACACTACAACAAGCAAATGTGTGCAGAGGGACAGCACTTAACCAGGAGTTGGTCCCCCAGAGCCCCAAAGGAGGGGTGTGCAGTGTGTCCCACCTGGACCCCGGGTCCAGGATGGGACAGGCACTCTTCCTCCTGACTCTGCGTCCCGGGTCCCCGCCCACTCAGGTCCGCGTTGCTCTGCAGCTCGAGGATGGCTCAAGGTTGCAAGATGCTTTCTGTTCGGGCCAGACGCTCTGGGAGCTTCTCTGCCATTTTGCACAGACCAGGTGAGTCTCGGTGAACAGGTCCTAGGTTCTGCCCTTCTCTGGCGGGGATGCTGCTGTGGTCCCAAGCCACAACCCTGAGCTCTGCTGTGGCCCAAGACCATGCCTTTTGGGGCTCTGGTACTGGTGAGAGGACTGGTTTGAGGTGAAAGGTTGTCTGTTACTGGCCACACCCAGCAGGGACTGGTCACCAACTGTCTGTCTTTCTCATTGGGTTTCCTGGCACTGTGGCCACATGCACCATCCCTGGAACCACGAGGCTGCCCTTCCATCCTTACAGGGCCCTTAAGAGGCCCCCTGAGGGCATGGTGGGCCATGAGGGGAGCAGAGGGATGCTTTAGTTAAGACTCTTGTGTTTTCTTGGAAACGGAAATCTTGGTGATAACTGATGTGTGTCGGTTTCTCTCTGGTGACTAACGGTTTAAGCATCACTCCTGAACATGCCAATATGGGAGCCCTTCAAGTCTTGGCCTTCCGTCATGGTATAGAAGTTGTTGTCTGCTTTGAAAGGTCTTGGCCAGCGGAGTGGAGGGACTGCGGGAGGGTGGAGAAGTCACTGTATGGCTGTGGGCAAATTGTTCACCTTCTCCGGGACTCCCAGGGGTGAAGTGAAGATGAGATGGGTTAATGTGTCTCAGGTACTGAGAACAGGGGCTGGCCCTTTGGTTTTCTGCAGCAGAGGGTCTCTGGGTAGGCCTCAGGGTGATGGGGCTCCTGCAGGAAGCCTGCTCTGCTCTGATCTCGGCACACGCTGTCCCTGCTGTCACAGCAGCCAGCCTCTTGCCCTGTCCTGTCTCATCTCTGATGTGCCATGTCCCTGATGCCAGTCCTTCCTGCAGCGCAGCTACAGGCATTGCTGTGGTGAGACCTGGCGGTCTCTCCCTCCCCCTGTCAGCCTGGGCTGGGCCGCCAGGGCTGCCTCCCCTCCAGCCAGATTCTGCTGAGAGAGAACTTTGCCACCCCCACCTAGGTGGCCTGTGATAGTGTCAGCCCACGAAGTCTGTCATCCTCCTCAGTCCAGCGTCCACAGTCCAGGCACACATGATAAACAGCTTATGGTTTGGGGGCAACTGGCAGCCTGAGGATCCATCCGTGCCTGAGGGTCAGCTGGTCTTGGCTGCCCTGCAGCCTGCCTGGGTGCATTCTCCTGGTGGTGGCAGGTGCCCAGGGGCGTGTGGGGCTGTGCAAGGCCTGGGAGCTGATACTTGGAAGGGGTTGGGGGCGAGGGGCACAGGGTCCCTGCCAGCCTGGCTGGGGCAGGGAGGAGCTGCAGAGCCTGGAGCTGAGTGTGAGCCTGGAAAAGAGGTGAATCCAGAGGCCGGGTAGGGCTCCTGCTCACATGTTTCTAGAAAGAGGACTTGGGGGCAGGGGAGGAAATCAGTGATGTTACAGTGGACAACCGTCTGAGTTGTGTTTCCAGGGTGACAGGCCACCCAGTGCCTGGCATGATGGGGCCTCACCCAGTGGCAGTGCTGTGAAGCGCCAGGAGGTGTGCTTGAAGAAATGGTCCCACGTGCTGAGAGAGGCCTGGCCTTCCACAGTGCCGCCGGGAGGGCGGCCTAGCCGTGCCTCTGAGATACTGTAGGAGAGCTGTTGAAGAATTCTCTATTTGGCCAAGGTGTCATAGAGGGGTGAGGATGGAACAAAGCCATTTTCAGACATGAAAGGTCACACGCACCTACCCCACACTGTTCTCTGAGGAAGATGCTGAGGCTGGGTCACTGACATGCGGGGGGGTCCACCCTGAAGGAGGGGGAGGGGTATGGAGCCGTTCACCTCAGGGAAGGGAGGAGGGCCCCCCATTTGCCATGTGCCCCGGACTTGGGTGCCCCGGGGGCCAGCATCACCAGGCCCCCATTCTCAAGGCTGTGCCCCCAAAACAAGGCTAAGGGGAGCCTGGGGACGCTGTGCTGCATGGCAGGCTCTCCCCTTGCAAGGTGTCAGCAGTCGGTACGGATAGAACAGAGCCAGTGGGCCCGCAGCAGGGATGTGCAGGGAGCAGGGCTTCCCCTGATGCTTCCGGGTTGGAGATCAGCATCCCGCAGAGCCTGGTGGGCGTGCTCGGCGGGTCCCTGCTGGCTCCTCTGCACAGGGATCAGGGTGGGTGGTGGTCCTGCCCTGAACTCCAACATCTGGAGCAACTCACTGGCCACTGGATGCCCCACATGGGCCACACATGCCTAATTCAGAATTTTCTAGTAGCCACATCAAAAGAAAGTAGAAACAGGTGTGATTAATTTTAGGACTATGATTAACTTCACTTAACATATCCAAAATTTTACCCTTTGAACATGTATTCAACAGGAAAAAAGAGATGGACATTGTTGGTGGGTGAGAGCCCGTGGAGGTCTGGCGGTCTCTCTCAGAGCCGGCCTCCCCTCGGTTTGCCGCCGTGTGTGTGCTCATCTCCACTGGCCGGTCTTCTCTGCTGCTTGGGCATCTGCTGAGGGAGAGTCACCAGGAAAGGGGCTCTGGGTTCTCCCCCAAAGCCCTCTGTTAGCCACCTGATTCCATGGCTGAGCCCACAGTTCCGGTGCAGCATCATCATCCGACTGATAGTAAAAGCTGGTGTCCATGGGAAGGGCAGCCTGTCCACGTGTTTGTCTTGGGGTTGTGGGCCCCTAGGCACAGTGGGCTGTGGGGAGCTGCCCGGAGGTTGCCACCAGCCTGTGGTCACACTGAGGGTGGGTTTGCATTCTGGCCCTGGAGGTGTAGGTGCCCAGGTGTCCACTCAGAGCACGCAGGCAGTGTTCCATGTCCTTGAAAGGGCCAGAGGCTGCTTCCCTCTTGAAACTGTCCCCACTCTGTCTGCCCTGGAGGAGGAGACTGTGGCTTCTGCAGCCCAAACCTTGTCCCAGGTGGTGATGGCGTGTGAGTTGCCTGGCACCTCATGACGTGGCCTCGCCCAACGTGGGCTTCCCTGGGGCAGCAGGAGCAGCCCTGAGCCAGGTCACAGCTGGTGTTCTGGCATCGTGTTGGCAGCACCTGCGCCTGCACCTGTCCTGTCCTGCTCAGGCCCAAGCAGGTGATGGACAGAAGGGGCTCCAGGTAGCTGTGTTGCTGGGGGCCCGCCTGGCTGGGCAGGCCCCTGTCCTCCAGGGAAAGGGCGTCTGTAAATGTGAAGCCAGCAGGGGTGCACCTCTGCCCTGCTCGCCACCCGCTGGCCTCTGGGAGTGGCTTTGCTGGCCTGAGATAGATACCCCTCCTGGGTCGTCTCCGCCACTGGGCCCTCTGAGTCCCGCCTGCTAGCAGGGAGGCAGCTGGGCACCATGAGAGGCCCACAGGATGCCTGGCCTCGCATGACGTCCACTGGCTCTGTCTGGGAGTGGCTCAGGCAGCACAGGGGTCCCCGGAGGCCTGGCTCAGCTCTGGTGGAGGTGACCGGCACTTGAGTGGTGTCTGAGGTGGGGAGCAGTGGGCCCTTGCAAGGGTGTGTAAGGGGAAGGCTCCTGATGCACAGGGATGGCCTCTGGGCCGCTGTCCCTGTTGGCAGGCAGGAGAGCTCTGCTGACTGGCCAGGAAGGTCTGGAAGCCATTGCAGCCGCCCTGCCCCTGGGTGTGAGGCCGCCCCCTCAGGCCCTGTATGGGGAGCCTGAACCCTCTGGAGGAGCCGCACTTCAAAGCTGCGGGGTGGTGTTTGATGTTCAGCGGCCCTTTGCTCTGTGCTGGGTGCGTGTACTGGCATCAGTGTCCAGAGAGCAGTCAGTGAGGCAGTATCAGTCCTGCGCCCCGTCCCCGGCTGCTCACCGGCCCCAGGCTTGGCTCACTGGCCCTCCTCTCACATCTCCTCCGTCTTGCCTGTAGTTGGAAGAGATGGTGTTCTGGCCGGCGCTGCTCTTGGGCTCTCCTGGGGTCTTGTGTTTATCTGGGGCCTGGGGTCCCTGGATCTGGGTGGCCTGTGCCCAACGTCTTTTGGGGTATGCCTCTAGGGGCCCCGCAGCTGGCTCATTCCCGGGCATTGTGCAGAACTAAAACCTGAAAGCAAACAGGAAACGGGGGAAAACATGCTGAGCCTGCCCGGAGGTCACGGCTCTCAGGACTGCCCAGGCCACATGCATTGAGTGTTCTTGTGTAGTCGGAGGCCTTGCTTCTGGTCCCCAGCTCAGCTCCCGTGTCTTCCCATCCTGACTGTGTCCGTGGATTTAAGCTGCGAGGTCTGGCCGGGTGGTGCTACGCAGCCTCAGGCCACTCCAGGCCCCCTGCTCCGGCGAGCCCTGCCTCTCAAATGCTCTTCTGGAGGGAGGGCCTGGCTGGGCACTCCAGGTGTGGTCAGGGACCGTGTTTACTGGGGGCCAGTCATGACTGTGTGTTTGGAGGTGCAGAAATGGCACTCCCCTGGTTGTCAGGCCTGCCATCAGCTGCTTAAATGCCCCCAAACCTGGCTCTGCCAGCCTGCATCCTGTAAGCCCAGGGCAGGCAGCTGGGGGTGTGCAAGTGAGTGTGGGCCAGTGGACACGGTGTGTGCATTGTGCAGCTGCATGCCTGCCATCATAAGAGCCCATCAGCTGTGCTTCCTGGGGGCCGTGCCCTCTTGCCTCAGGCTCCAATTCAGGAGGGGAGATGACATCAGCAGCCAGGCCATGTCTGCTGTCATCTTACTGGCAAAGCATATTGAGGATGAGAGGGGGATCCGGTCTGGCCCTTGGTGACCTGCGTGCCAGCATGGAGAGCTGGGGGCCATTCGCTGCCTCGCAGATGACAGAAATCTGCGTGGAGCCTCCTGCCTGTCTGTGCTCCTGTGGCCCCCGTGCCTGGCTTGTGTGATAGAGCGGCCCAGGTGCTCGGACACGCCAGCATCCAGTGCCACAGCCTCCGGTCTTCCTTGTTTTCGCGACAGTAACTTGGGTGGCTGTCACAGGCCCTCTGTGAGCCTGGCACTGGTCTGCTTGGCCACGTGGGCACGGACATGCTTCATGAGGTGGCATCCCTGTCATCCTGTGCTGTGGCCTGAGGGGGAGCCGGCAGGCTGCAATTCCATCGTGAAGCTTAGGTTGAGACCCAAGGCCCTGGCCCCTCAGCACTGCCCTCCGCCCTGGTGCTGCCTCAAGGCGTCTGGGTGGGCGGCGTGTCATGTGGGGTGCTCGGGGCTTGGGCACCTGGGCCTCTCGTGGTCCCCTTACTAGATTCGCACCTGGATCTGCTCCTAGTGTTTCAGGGGTCAGCAACCCTCCTGCAGGTCAGCTTCAGGTAAAGCCTGGGACTCAACATCACTGACTCCAGGCACAGCTGATGGTGACCCAGGACTCGTCTCAGGGGTGGGCTGGGGCTGCTCGTCCCCTGCCCCATGTCCTCCTCACTTTCTGAGCCTTGAGGCTTGGGGCAGGGGGAGATGCCCCCGCCATGTGCTGATGGCCCAGGCCCATGGGGTGGGCGGGGCCTCCACGGCGAGTGGTGGGGTGCTCTCCCTGGGGGGTGCCATCCTGAGGGCACCAGTGTCCCCCAATGCCAGCGGCCAGCCTGGGTTGTTTGTCTCCTGGCAGGGAGTTCCTGGAGCAGCCGTGCGAGGCGAGCCCAGTCTGCGTGTACATGAGGGCTGAGGTGGGTGATCGCCTATGCCCCCACCACTCCCACGCCCACGTGGGCCGGCCCCGCGTTCCAGTCTGGAAAATCCACTCCCCGAAACCCGCTTTCAGAGCAGCGGAGGGCAGACTCAGCCCTGAAGGCGCGATGTGTCTCATGGAAAAAGCAGGGCTCTGCTTCTGTTGGGATCGACCACGGCCGCCAGGCTGCTCCCACCCCCCTCAACGCCCTGTTTGTTTTCTCAGTATTTCTCAAATCTCAGGTCACAAAAGTGGTTTCGTTCTGACAAATATTTGCTTTGCTCTGTGTTTTGATCTTTTTCGAAACCCAGGGCAGCGGCGTGGTGCAGGCCTGCCTGACCCCGCCTGCCGTGATGGGGACCCTCCCGGCGCTTGGTCCACTGGCTCACAGGGCCTTTTTGTTCCGACCCTGGCCTAGCGCCCTGTCCTGGCCTGGGGTGGCCACTGTCCCCACGGGACCCCTGGCATGGATGATAAATGCTCACCTATTCATCCCAGCTTGAGTTCCCTGACCTAAGGCTGTGAGTGGGAAGGATCTGGGGGACATGTCCTTCCCTGGAGAAGATGGACTGATGGCCAGTGTGGTCTGTCCAGTCCCTGGAGGGCTGGACAGATGGCCACATGTGGCTAACCTAGGCCTGAGCCCTGCCCACCGGGCTTCCGATGGGGCAGGGTTGGGGGGATGGACCCAGACCAGCGAACAAATGCTTGGGCTTAGGTCAGGGTGTGGGAGGCTAGACCCAGGCCTCTTGGGAGCCAGGACTGAGCTGGGGCAAACTGGTGTCAGAACCTGGCTTGGGGGAGGCTGTGTGAGGCGGGCTTGTCAGGTTGTTCTTGGTGCCCTCAGCCTGGCTTAGTGCAAGGCCTCAGCTCGGGCCAGGTCCGCAAGCTTCGTCCTGCAGGGTGGGCGGGGTGTCCTGGGCACACCTGTCCTGTTCCTTCCTCACAGGTGACAGGCAGAGCCGCCTTGCAGGGCACGACACTGCAGTCACTGGGCCTCACTGGGGGCAGCGCCATCATCAGGTGGGGGCTCTGAGTGTTGTTGAGTGAGAAGAACAGGGTGTTGAAGGCAAGGAGGGGCACCATGGGAAGGTGAAGGGGAAATGTGCCTGCCTACAGTCCCCACCCCTGCCCCGAGGCTCCCACCTCTGCTCTGAGGCTCCCGCCCCAGGCCCCTGCCCCAAGGCTTTCCTGTCCTGGGGCTTGGCACGGGTGGGTGGGGGCATGTCCAGTGAGGACCTGCCCTCTGCTGGGGTGGCGCGTTGCTTTCCTGGGGAGGTGGGGCTGGACGGAAAAGGGTCTGTAGAGGGCCCTCAGGCATTGAGTTCAGTTTGGCCCGCACCAGAGGGTAAGGTGCCGGGCTGTGGGCTGGTGGGGTGGTCTCTGCGTCTACAGTGTCGCTTGCTTTCTGGTCCCCACCAGGTTTGCCATGAGGCGATGTGACTCTGCTGGCAAGCAGGAGCCTGGGGTCCCCCGGATGAAAACCCCGGGCGACCCAATGGCCTCAGTGTCAGCTGACCAGGCAACCAGCAGCCCCCTGTTGCTGCTGGACCCAGCGGGGCTCCACCAGGGTGATGTGAGCCACCAGGACGAGGTGGGCACCTCGGGGACCAGCTGTGCGGATGGCCAGGCCCCAAAGCTGGTGAACACCCAGACGAAGCCGATCTCCAAGGAGCCTGCCCCAGCCTCCTTTGTTCCTTTCTCGGGTGGGGGACAGCGCCTGGGGGGGCCCTCTGGGTCTGCGAGGTCTCTGATGTCACCTTCAGCCAAATTGCCCAAGACCTTCTCCAGCCCCGGAGGCCCCTCGAAGCCGAAGAAGTCGAGGCCTGGCCAGGAGCTGGAGCGGGAGCAGGAGCTGGTAAGGGGCTGGCGGGGGGGCTCGTTTTCCTGACTGCTGGCCAGCCCAGGGGACGGGGTAGCTGGACGTGTTTTGTCTTCTCAGGGAAGTGACTTTTTGGTTTTGTTTTGTCTTGAATCAGCTTCATTGTGGTGCCACTTTAGATGTACGATTTGATTTTGACAAACTCATATGTCCTGGTGACCATGGTCACAGCCAGGGACCCGCATCCCTGTGTGGCTCTGACCCCTCCCGTCACAGGCAGTACCACGGGACCACTGCTTCTGCCTCAGCAGGGGTCTTGACCAGCTTTTGACATGAAGGTGGCTTTGGCATTGATTGCCCCATGCCACATCTGCTCCTGAGCCACTTGTCCCCACAGCTTGTTGACCGGCTGCCTTGCCACTAGGCACTTTAATGTCTGGCCATGCAGCGGGAAGGTGGAATTTGCTCCTCAAAGTCGAGCAGGTAGATGTCGCCTTTTCAGGTGGGACTCCTGCCCGCCGGCCACGTAGCTGTGCTGGGAGTGGGGAGCACAGCCTTCGCTGGGACAAGTGAGCGGATGGGGTGCATCTAGGCCTTGGGGGGCCTTTGCTCCACCAGCTTCCCTCTGGTCCACTCTGTCCAGGTACAGTCATTGCATGAGCACCACTGATGGCAGGTTTTGCAAACGGTGCTTTGTCTCTGTGGTGCAGATGCATCTCTGACTCCAGTTGTCACCTGGGCCTGCTTGTCCCCGGCCTCACACTCTGCTCCCACAGTGACGCCCACCCCCATCCACCTCTGTGACCACACACCCACTGCGTGGTGGATCACACTGAGCACACTGCTTGTCCACAGAGCATTGGCACTCTCAGGCGGGCAGCCACTCCTTGCTCTGCAGGACCCAGGCTTGTGGTCTGAGCAGGTTCTTGGTGTCACACCAGTGTCCATCTTCCCCGCTGTCTGGTGGTGCCAGCCCCTAAGGCTGCCCCTGGTCCTTGGGCCAGGCTGACCTTGCCTGGCTCCTGCTGGGGCCAGCTGCAGCCTTACCCTGGCTCTGAGGGCCCCATGGGGCTGGTTCTCACCTGGGTGTTGGTGCACGCTTCCCGCTGGGTCGTCTCTGGGCCTGTCATCCAGCTTCCCCCAGCATCTTTGGGCAACTGCAGCAGGTTGGGGTTGGCCCAGATGCCATGCCGTTGGGGTCCCTCTGCGCCACTGCTCACCATCGCATGTCCTAGGGGACTGATGTGAGATGTTTCTGGGATAATCCATTGGTAGAGGAGGGCTTGTCCAAGCAAGGATGGACGACACGTTGTGTCCCGGCGGTGGTAAGTGAGCCCGTTCTCCTGATGAGTCCCTGCAGTTTCTCAGTTGTAGCTGGGGTCTCTGCAAATAACGTGAGTTTTCTCTCTTTTATGTCCTTATTTCTCCTGTTGGTTTCCTCATTGTGCCACAGTGACCAGGTGTCCGGCATTGCTGAGTTAGTAGTTTTAGTGGGCATCCTAGTCTTGACCTTGATCTTGAGGGAATAATCTGCAGTTTATCTGCAAAGGGTGATGTGTACCCTGAAAAGCTCTGGCAAGTTGAAGGAGTTTCTGTTCTTGATTTTCTGAGAGCTTTTTTGTCACAAGCAGGTGATGAGCTTTATAGCTTTTTCTGCATGGAGATCATTTTGTCCCTTCTTTCTCCTTCAGTTCACGCGGGTGGTGAGGTTCTGGAGAGAGTTCCTTGGTTGGGCTGTCTTTGTAGTCTGCAGATGGGTCCCACTTCCATGGCGCCTCCCCTGTAGCTGCGTCTTTAGTACCAGCTCGCTCAGTGTGGTCCAGTCCGTACCCCCAGGAGGTGCAGCAGAGGTCCCCGGGCTGAAGCTGCCTGCCTTCTTCTCTTCTGGAGCCCCCTCCTCGCTCGGGCCTCCAGGTCACCCCCCAGGAGGGTGGAGGGTGGAGGGCAGCTGTGCCTGTGGGGGGTGGGGATGGGGGGTGCTTGGCGGGGGGACAGAGCCTGAGTGCCTACTGAGGGTAGGCAGCCAGGACTTTCTCCTGCTCCCTTGGTGTGTCCGTGCCGAGTGGACGGGAGAGGGGGCGTACCCCACCCCTTTGGGGACCACACTGGCTTTTACACTGACATTTGGGTCATGTTAGATGCCAGGATGCAGCCCCCAGCCTCATAGCTTCCGTTGCCTGGGCCCAGAATCAGGAGCTGAAAGTAGACCCATGTGGTTGGGGTGACCTGGGGTGTGGGGGGGGGCCTGACTTCCTCTGGCCTGTTGGTCCTTGGCGACCCTGGGTTTGGGGACGGACAAAAGCTCAGGCTGGTTGGCTCTCCCACCCTAGAGGTGGTCAGCATGTGGTGTGTGGCTTCTGGGCCCCTTGCTCCCTGTGACCCAGGCAGGCCCTGGTCCTCTGTGCCCTGTGGGGGTGGGAGTGGTTTAGGTTTGTGCCTGCCGGTAGGCGGCTGCTGCCCAGGCACAGGATCCCAGCCCTTCCCAGCACAGACCCCAGGGCCCCCTGGCAGGAGGAGTCCGGGGAGGGTGCACCGGCCACCAGCAGTGTGTGCCTTTGATCTGCGAGCCCTAGCAGCTGGCTGGTTGTGGGGCGTCCCCCGCCCGCCCGCCCGCCCCGCGCCTCCTGTCACTAACAGCCGCACACCCAGAGGGCTGGCCAGCCACATGGTGTCTGCTTTGTGTCCCTTTCCAGTCCTGGGGGAGGGGAGAAGGGAACAAAACAGAACTTCTGGGGGAACTTCAAAGGTGCGCGTTAGTGATCAGAAGAAGAGTGTCCAAGTTTCCCATTAGTGATTTGTCTGTGTGTGGTTTTTGGATTTGAATAGTCAGAAGAGACAGGATAAAATATAGGCAGGTCCTCGGCCGAAGTGGGATGGTTTACAGACCCGGGCGGCTCCTGCCTTTGATGTTGAAACATTAATTATTAGAAAGTAGTTTTACTGGCCATCAGACCCGAGTGCCGCCAGGGCTGGGCTGTCCTGCAGCCCCTGGCCTGTCTTTTGAAGTCCTTCCTCTGGCCCCGGGAGGCTGCCCTGCAGCTCTGCACGCGGCTGGGCCACGATCCCAGCCGGCGCCCCCAGCACAGCTGGCCTGGGGCCCCCGAGCAAAGGCCCTGACCCCCTGGGCAGAGTGGGCAGCTGATGACAGTCTCCTTTGCCTTCTCCTCTCTCTCCATTGGGTAGTCGCACCTCTTGGAGGTGGGGACCCAGGGACTTCTCATGTCTCCCATCCCTGTTTCGGAGCAGGTATCAGGCTTACCCGGGCTGCTGCTGCTCCCTTGTTCCCTGCAGGTCCGGAACAGGAGTGGCTGGGAGGAGCCCAGCCGAGGTGTGGGTCAGAGCAGTGCAGATCGCAGACCCTTGTTGCCCTGACACCCTTCTCTGCCTGGGGTGCCTGCCCGTGACATCCCCCCAGGAGCGCACTCTGCCTTCCCCAGCAGGCGGGCCTGAGGCTTGGCGTGAGCCTGTTCCTGTCACGCCAGTGGGTCTGGGGCAGCCTCCTGGGCCAGGGCTATGGCACGGCTATGGCCCTCATTGGAATTCCCGCTGAGGTCTGTTGGCAGACGGGTCAGCAGCTTTAAAGGCACCAGCCAAGCTCTGTGGCCGTTACTGAGGCCTGGTGATGGGCAGGTGCCCTCCAGCCGCCTCTGTCCAGTTGTGCCCCAGCCACAACTGGGTGTGAGGGAGAGACAGACCCCCAGCCTGTGGGCTGCAGTGGACCATGGCCGTGCAGGACACCGCAGCCCCCAGAGCTGCCCAGGTAGGGCCAGGTGGCCTCCTGCTGTCTGGGGCCTGGGGTTGCGCTTGAAGGCCCCCATCCCAGTCCTGGCCCTTTGGTCTCTTGCGGTCCCTCACCACTCCCTCCGAGGCCTGCTGACCTTGGGCCGACCTCCCCGGGCCCCCAGGGGCAGCTGACTGGCCTGCAGATGAGGAGAGCCCTGCCCCACACCCTGTGTACTTGGGGGGTTTCACGCGCTTTACCCTCGGCGATACACCACAGGCCACGCTCTGACACGGGGAGCCGCTCAGTTTCAGAGCATGCCTGTGTCGTTGCTACAGCCCAGCGCATAGCCACCCTGTGCTTTTCTTTTTAAAAAGCTTCTCTTTCCTTTTGTTCAGAAGGGTGGGCAGCCAGAGTGGACCTTGTTCCCGGGCCTGGGCAGGTACTGTCTGCCTGGTGCCGGCTGGTGGGTTTGAGACCCGTCCCGTCCCTCTGCAAGCATGGAGTCCAGGGCCTCGGTGTGCAGCTGGGGTCAGCCTGGCCTTGCGCTCTGCTGGCCCTCCCTGCCTGGTCTCCTGGAGGCTTCCATGTGCTCCGGGCTCCCTCCAGAGGGCAGCCGGCTCTCGAGTAACTTGGGAGGTTGGCCGGCCTCCCTCCTGTACTGATTCATTTAAACTCCAAGCCTCGAGGGGAAACGTTTCACATTCCCTCTCACCAGAACCCTTTCTCAGCGGGCAGTCCAGGCGAGAGTGAGGCGGGAGGAAACGGGAACCTCCCAGGAAAGCTGGAAGGTCTGGGCTTGAGGTCACCTCCAAATGGTTTCATGTTTTTTCTCTGTGTGTCATCATGTCCTGGAAAATTACTGTCAGGAAAATGAAGCCTTAGAGGCTAGGCCACTTCTGACATGAGAGGACTGTGAGGCCAAGTGGGTTCTCAGCCCCTCGTGTGTTGGCCGCTGGAGCACGTGCACCCAACTGTCCGTGGATGCGTCGGGCCCATGTCTTGGGGCCCCCGCCCCCTGCCCTGTGCTGGCCGTGCAGGCCTGGGTGTAGGTGGTGCCCTCCGCCTTCCCCTTGGGTCTCCTTTGCAGGCCCACCCCGGTGTGGCAGGGGCTCTTACAATTCACCTGTGGCCGTCACAGCTGGCAGCCGGTCGCCGAGCCCCCACCTCTGGACGGCTCCTGTGTTGGCCGTCATCTCTGCAGCCGCCGCCCGGGGCCACCTCTGAGCATCGTCCCTCCTGCGTGCTTCCCAGGCTCTGGGCCCAGGGCCACTGGACCGATCCTCTTTCTCCATCCACCTCCCCCCTCTGGTTTTCTGGATGTTCTGTTAAACCCTCCGTGCAGGTGGGGGCCTGGGAGAGTGGGACCTGGGGCCTCGCTTCGGAAGGACCCATTTCTCCAGGCCCACCCAGCCTTGGAGCCCACAAGTACCAGCACCTCCAGGGTCACAGCTGGGCGAGGTTTCCTCACCCGTCATGCGCAGTCACAGTCGACCCCTGCCCCACGGGCTCAGATCATGCACCGTGTCCTCATCGTCTTCCCACAGCATCTAGGGCACTGGGGAGGGCCTGGCTCTGTGCCTGTCCTGCCCAGCTGCAGCTTCCCCAAGCCCACCTCGCCCGACATCCCCCTCCCCACGGCAGCCCCCTTCTCTGCAGTTGAATGGGATTCTCCCCTGGCTGCTCCCCTGGTCACTTGGCAGCAGGGAGCCGTTCCTACCAGCCAGTCCGACATGTGCCTGCTCTTGTGGGCCAGGGCCCACCTGGTGCGGGACATGGTGGTGGCTCTGGGACTCGGGTGGTCTGGCCCCTGGCTCTGGTGGGCAGCAGAGGCTCGTTGGAATCCTGGCTTCTCTGCCCAAAGGGAAGGGAGGCCCGGGCAGGGTGGCGTGAGGGGGGGTGGGGGTGGAATGTGTCCCCAGGCAGCTCCTCCTAGCCTCTGGGTCTTGGGGGTCCTGGAGGAATCCTGGGGGGCTCTGGGATGTGGGTTCTTGGCTTCTGCCTGACAGAGAAGAGCCGATTGTGCAGGACGGGAGTCCAGAAAGGGACCCGTTGCCCAGTGGGGATTTGTCAGGTGTTTTTCTGACCAAAAGCCAGTGGCTCCTGAGCAGCATGAAGCCAGTGGCTGGTGTCACCTGCATCCGTACTCTGGAAGTGTCTCAGGGAAGGGCTGTGGACTTCAGGGTAATCTGCAGTGCCAGTGGCCTGTGTCCTCCCAGTCACCCCCCAGCCGGTGCCCATGGTGCCCAGGAGCCCAGGAGGCCAGAGTCGGGCTTTGTTTGGTGCCATGGACATGAACTGTGTGTCTCATGATTGCTGGGCTCTTGGGTAACTTGTGAACCTGGGGCTGGGTCCTCCAACGGAGGGACCTGGGCAGAGCAGCCTTGGGGCCTGCTCATCAGTGGGCTCTGGGCAGTGCCCAGGAGCCTGGCACTTGACCTGGTGGGTTCTGGCAGGCGCGTCCTCATTCTGCTCTTGCCCACCCCCAGGAGCCCAGGCGAGCTTTTGGCTCTTCTGTGGGGGGCAGCCTGGCACCTGGCATCTTGTTGTAAAAAGCTCTGGCATGGACTGCCCGCAGCGGCTGTAGGGCGCTTTTGGCTTCCAAGGGGCAGCCCCAGAGCCTCTCAGTCCGCCACCGACTGGCCCCGCTGCCGAGACTCCAGCCAGCCCTTACTGGCCACTCTGTCACCCCAGAATCAGAGGGTCTTCCTGGTAACAGCCCACCCCCCTTCCCTGAGGGAGAGCTGTGCTGTAAGGGGGTGCAGCTGTGTACTTGGTGGACTGCAGGGGCCTGCCTGTGTGGACAGCCATGGCCTTGACGTGGCTGGGGCAGCCCTGGAGACCCAGCAGGTGTGTTGGAGAAGCAGGTCCCTGAAGGCTGGGCAGACCTCAGACCTGGCCCTCGACTGACCTGGGCCTGGCCATGGCAGCGTGGTGGGTCTGTCTTGAGGGCAGTTGGGCCATGGCCAGGCCGGGCTGGGTAGGAGGCCGTGGGAAGGCCGCCAAGGAGGCGTGCATGTCCCCAGAGCCTGCCAAGCCCGTTGGTATTAAGAAGCAGGTGGGATTCCAGCACCAAGGTGGGGTGGGGAGGTGAGGGCAGAGGGCGGCTGTTTTGTGCAAGGGAGGACGAGGTGTGGTGTGGGCCCTGCCAGCTCCGCTGGACACCTTGGTTGGGCAGCCCCAGAGGTGTCCTGCCCCCACGTTGAGAGGGCTGCACTGGCCAGTTACCCACCTGGAGGCAGGACACGCCCTGCCTTGTAATCTCCATCATAGTTGCTGCCAGTCAGGAGTGATACTGTCTGTGTGTCCCCAGGGTGGGCAGGGGGCAGGGCCTAGCTGCTCCCCTGGTGAGGGGGAGGGGTCAGCCTGGCTGTGGGGCAGCAGGCAGGTCCTGCCAGACCTCTAATTTGGGGGCTGTTGTTTCCCTGACCCTCCCGTGGGGTCCCTGATGTGGCCTCGACTGGGCCACTGTTTCCTGAGTTGTTCCCCATTTGGGATTGGTAGGCAGCTCCATGGGCCCCGTGGGGGCACCCCCCATGGAGACAGGAAGTGAGCATGGGAGCTGCTGGGGGCGGCTGGCCTGTGGAGCTGCCACTGACCTTCCCAACCCCTGGCAGTGAGGGGAATGTGGGGCCCGCCGAGCTGAGACCCCAGGGCCATGTCTTGCTGGTGAGCAGCGGTCTGGGTGGGCCCCAGAATTGCTGTACAGGTGGGTGGGCATGGAAGGAGTGGCCGGAGTCCCGGACAGGCTTGGTCTGGGTGGGGTCCCCAGCCCCGCTGCCCCACCCCCCACCCCGGAGACCGGGTCGTGGCCACAGACTGATGGGTGTGGGTGTGGGCTCGGCTCGGGTCTGTGTGGCTGCTTCAGCTGTGGAACCTGGATGGTCCAGCTGCACAGACTTAGGAGCCTGGGGCCTTTCTGGCGCCCTGCATCAGCTGAGCCCTCTGCCCACCCAGCCGGTTGCCCGAGACCCTGTGGTGTGCCACCCTGACCTAGAAGAGGGGCTCCAGGCCTGGCCTGCAGATCTGCCTGACGAGTTCTTTGAACTGACTGTGGATGATGTGAGAAGACGCCTGGCCCAGCTCAGGAGTGAGCGGTGGGTGCACACTTGGCCCCTCAGTCTCGCTCTGACACCCAGGCCCCCAGCAGCACCCTGGGGGTGTATGGCCCCTAGTCTTGTCTGGCCTGACCTGGGGAGCAGGCAGTGGAGCCGGGTGGCAAGGGAGTGGTCTAGAGTCCAGCTCGTGGGGTCCTTCACCCTGGCTGGGGAGACCCCAGACCTTCACGAGACCCCCTGCCCTGCAGGAAGTGCCTGGAGGAAGCCCCCTTAGTGACCAAGGCCTTCAGGGAGGCTCAGATGAAGGAGAAGCTGGAGCGATACCCCAAGGTATGCAGAGGGGCTCTGGGCTGTGGCTGCCTGTGGACTCCCAACGAGCATCCAACCGCCTCACCTGCACTCTGCCAGTCATGGTTGGGCGCAGCCACAGTACTGAACCAGCAGTCCCATTTTACAACAAAACCGGCATCAATGTGTTTTTACTAATGCACATAGGGGTCATTGACCAGTCCTGTGTCTGTCCCGGGGCCCTGGGAATGGAGGCCTCAGCTCTGGCTAGGAGCGTGGTGGGCATGGACCTCCCACCAGGACTCCTACCTGCCCCAGTCCTGGGATCTCCTGGCCCAGCTGGAGGGCTTGGCCCTCGTGGGCTTAGGCCTGCTGCCACCCCATGCCTGGGCTGGGCTCTGGCATCCTGCTGACAGCTTGGCTTGTCCTGGCTTAGGTGGTCCTGAGGGTCCTGTTCCCTGACCGCTACATACTACAGGGCTTCTTCCGCCCCAGTGAGACAGGTAAGCGGCCCCGCCTGGGTGTCCGGAAGAGTGGGGAGCTCTTTGAGCTCCTCCTAGCCCCTTGTGGATAGTGGGACCTCACTGCCTGGCCTGTGGGCTGCAGGGAGAAGGATGTTTTTGGGTCACTTTTGCTCCTGGGACAGGCAGCAGGCTCTGAGTCTGCAGAGCGTGTTGGGGGTTGCAGGTGCAGGCCTAGGACCAGGCCGTGCCAGGTTCTCACCAGGCCAGCCCAGTGGTACCTGAACACGCAACCAGGTAGGCCCAGGTGGGATAAGGGCACCTAGAGGGAGGATGGGCCTGCGACCCACCACGTCCAGCAACGGGGTCTCTGGCCCGGGGCTGCAGCCCACCTAGAAGGCAGGCAGCAAGGCCATCAGTTCTGAGTGGGATCCTTGGTGATGTGTTCCCCAGACAGTGGGGGTGACAGGCAGGCCCCCAGGTCCCCAGGGGTGCTGTGTGACAGCGCCCTGCACCCAGGCAGGGCCTCCCTGGGACAGGACTTAGAACTGGGTGGTGGACAAGGCAAGAGGCCACGTGGGGGGACACTCCTGCAGTTGGGTGGGGGTCCAGGTGGCAGCCTGCAGCGCAGTCCAGCCAGGTCATGCATCTCGCAATGCTGGGGAGGGACAAGCTTGACTTCCTACCCCCTGGGCCTGAGGGTCAACTTGAGGGTGGCAGTGCCATCCCTGGTGCCTGAGGCTGAGTGCCGGGGCTGCCTGGCCTGTAGGGTAGTAGCTGTGCGCAAGTTGGCCTGGCTCACCCCGTCCCAGAGTGGGGTCAGCCCTGGGGCCTGAGTCGGGGCCGCAGCATGCATGTGCACCCTGCCCTTCCCTCCGCAGTGGGGGATCTGCGGGACTTCGTACGGAGCCACCTCGGGAACCCTGGGCTGCCGTTCCACCTGTGTGAGTGTCCTCGGGGACCACCTGCCTCGGGCCCCAGCCCTGGGAGCCCCCCTGCCCCCAGCTGGGGCTTGGAGCAGCTTCTCCCATGGGAATAGTGTCATGGGATAGGTGGGTCCTGCAGCCTGGCCCACCTTACTGTGGGCAGCTCACTAGTGTTCCTGGCTGAGTCCAGGGACCTGGGGAGTCAGAGAGGGAGGTTGGCTTTGTGCCCCCCCCTCTGCCCCTGGCCTGACCTCTCCTTCTGGGTCCCCCAGCAGCTGCCGGGAAGCTGAGAGAGCGGCTGGCCTCCCTCAGGGCATCTGGGGATTGAGGGGTGGGCTGCCTGAGTGCATGCACTGCACTGGGAGCTCTGTGGGGCGGGGGTCTCCTGCAGGGGAACTTCCCCAAGCCACCCGGCCTTGCCCCTCACCATGGTTTCTGCAGCAGTGCACCCAGGCAGGGCCTCCCTGGGACAGGACTTAGAACTGGGTGGTGGACAAGGCAAGAGGCCACGTGGGGGGACACTCCTGCAGTTGGGTGGGGGTCCAGGTGGCAGCCTGCAGCGCAGTCCAGCCAGGTCATGCATCTCGCAATGCTGGGGAGGGGCAAGCTTGACTTCCTACCCCCTGGGCCTGAGGGTCAACTTGAGGGTGGCAGTGCCATCCCTGGTGCCTGAGGCTGAGTGCCGGGGCTGCCTGGCCTGTAGGGTAGTAGCTGTGCGCAAGTTGGCCTGGCTCACCCCGTCCCAGAGTGGGGTCAGCCCTGGGGCCTGAGTCGGGGCCGCAGCATGCATGTGCACCCTGCCCTTCCCTCCGCAGTGGGGGATCTGCGGGACTTCGTACGGAGCCACCTCGGGAACCCTGGGCTGCCGTTCCACCTGTGTGAGTGTCCTCGGGGACCACCTGCCTCGGGCCCCAGCCCTGGGAGCCCCCCTGCCCCCAGCTGGGGCTTGGAGCAGCTTCTCCCATGGGAATAGTGTCATGGGATAGGTGGGTCCTGCAGCCTGGCCCACCTTACTGTGGGCAGCTCACTAGTGTTCCTGGCTGAGTCCAGGGACCTGGGGAGTCAGAGAGGGAGGTTGGCTTTGTGCCCCCGCCTCTGCCCCTGGCCTGACCTCTCCTTCTGGGTCCCCCAGCAGCTGCCGGGAAGCTGAGAGAGCGGCTGGCCTCCCTCAGGGCATCTGGGGATTGAGGGGTGGGCTGCCTGAGTGCATGCACTGCACTGGGAGCTCTGTGGGGCGGGGGTCTCCTGCAGGGGAACTTCCCCAAGCCACCCGGCCTTGCCCCTCACCATGGTTTCTGCAGCAGCAGAGAGGTGGGCAGAGGGCTGTGAGCTGAGTGGGTTCTTCAGAAGTGCCCTCCAGTGGAGGTCTTGGCCTGAGCCTTCCCGCTCACCCTTGCGCCTAGTTCTCCCTGGAGAGTGTGGCCAGGGATCCAGGGGGCCAGTGCCTCCTGACACCGACAGCGATCTCCCTCCACAGTCGTTGCTCCTCCTAAAGCCATCCTGGATGACCAAGCACTGACCCTCTTTCAGGTACGGCCGCTGGGGGTGGGTGCTGGGCGCCCCCTGAGACGGCAAGGCAGGGCTGCTGGAGGAGGGCTCCTGAAAGGTCGGGGGTCGAAGGCCTGGGCTGCAGGTGGCCAACTGCTGGGGCTGCTGCTGGTCTCGCCTTTCCCCTGGGACTCTGGCCTCTGCTGGCAGTGCAATGGGGGGCAAGTCTCCCTGCAGCCCTTGTGTGATGACCATCCACCCAGCGCCCTGCGGGGCTGCCCTCCAGAACCCAGAGGAATATCCTGCCCATTAGTCCCTGGGAGGCTAGCCTGGGGCCTGCCTCCCCAACCCTCTGGCCTAATGGTTTCCTCTTCAAAGCCTCTTCAGATATTTTAATGAGTAACAGAGGCTGGCCTTTGTTAAGTGGCTGGCTGGAGGCCCTGCAGAGGTCTTAGTGGGATGAGGGGGTCTGCTTGCTGCTTGGGGATGCCACTGTTGTGGGAAAGGTGGGGCAAGACAGGCAGAGAGGAGAGAAGTCAAGGTGGAGGGAAGGGGCTGTGCCCCCTCCTGCCCCGTTCAGCCTTCTGCAGCCCCTGGGAGCCCCAGGGGTACTGGGCCTCTTTCCGCTGCCAGCCCTGCTCCGCCACCCGTTGCTGGCCAGCCTGTTGATAAACATTGAATTTGGAGATGCTCTAGGATGGAGGGGGACCAGTGCCCAGGCACTCCCCTCCAATTAGGAGCCATGCGGGTGTTGCCTGTCCCGCCCACGTGGCCCGATTCCCGGTGACACGGTGCCCCCTGCTACCAGCAGCTGTCTCCTTTCATCCCTCAGCTTGGCCTGGAGCCGCGGGGCCTCTGCACGGGGTGGTGTCCCTGCCCGCCCGTGATCAGAGAGCTGGCAGGGCTCAGGGAAGGAAGCTTTCCTCCCTTGCGTGGGTGAGCAGGCGCGGCAGCCGCCGGCTTTCATGTCCCTGGCAGGGCCGAGCTCTGGCTGCTGGCTGCCTGGGAGGCTGCCCAGGGACAGGCCTCATGCTCCAGAGACTGACAGCTTGGGTCGGTGTGTGGGCCGGCGGCCTAGCTGCCCTTTTTGGCTGCTGGATCGGGAGAGAGAGTTTTCGCTGGGAGAGGCAGGGGGCGGGGATGAGGGTGGAAGGGTGCGGGGGATGCAGTCTGTGGGCACAAAGGCCCCAACACCCCACATCAAACTTGCTTCCTGGGCCTGAGGCCTTCTCACTGCTGGCACTGCCCTGAGCCCCAGGGGCTCCACCCCTGCGCACCGTCCTGCCCAGCACTCAGGCCTTACCCTCAGTGTGCCCCAAAGACCAAAGACCGCCACGGTTTGTGGGGGCCTCTCAGGCCTGAAGAGAGCCCGCAGACCCTCCCTCTTCATGGTTTTCTGTGTCATCCATCCTCCCCTGGTTTGGCTGTGATCCCAGAAGACACAAGCCAGCAGGCAGGGTGCTTCTGGCAAGTGCCAAGGGGAGGCAGGGCATCCAGGTTCTAGAGGGGCCTGGAGGACCCTATGGCCGCACAGCTCCCAGACTGCCCTGCTTGGTGGACTTGGGAGAAGTTCATGAAATGGGAATATGCAGCCATGCACAGTGCCGTGAGGGTGGCCCTGGGGCCTGGTAGGTCAGCTGAGTCAGGGTTTGGCCACGCTGGGCCGCCGAGGAAGACTGGGGCTCTATCTCCCTTGTACCCGCTTCCTGCTTCCTGGCCATCCCCCAGCTTCAGGCACTGCCAGGGCCTTGGGCAGACTGCAGGAACCCCGTAGGCTGCCCCTCCACACAAGGCTTTGATCCCTGGTATCATGATGGAGTCTTCAGGGCTGACAGCCCTTTCCTGGGGCCCTCGGCTTTGGCTGTGGTCCCAGCATTCCTAGGCCTGGCCTCTGAAACTTGCTTTCTTTAATGCCGCCACCCTGACTCCCAGAGCAGGGGGGATTCTCTCGGCTGGCAGTTGTGACCCTTCCACCATAGGCTGAGGATACAATCTCGGGCCAGCTTTGGGGCTTGCAGCCACAGTCCTTGGGGTGGGGGTTCTGGGGCCCTCTGCCTACAGCCCTGACTCTACACCCAGTCCAGCCCCAACCCTGGGAGGTCTCCAGCGGTATGTCAGGGGACATGTGACCCATCCTTGTCTGGCACCTGTGCAGGTGGGGCTGGTCCTTGAGCAGGAATCTCGTGCCACCAGCCCCGTGGAACCCCTGGGGCTGGCTGTGGAGACCCTGGTATGAGGGGCTCTGTGCTGGCTTGGCACCAGCTCTTCCCTTACCAGGTCGCAGTGCCCAGTCAGGAAACCTGAGCCTGGTCTCCCAGGGTCTTGGCTCTTGGATTCGTCAAAGGTTGCAGACCTGGGCGGCAGGAGCCACTCAATGCAGTGGTTCCAAGATCCCCTCCGCACTGCTGATGGCCCCCCAGTGGTCCTCTGGTCACCTGTGCAGCTGCTTCCAGTGCATCTGGGTGTTCCCCAAAGCCTGAAGCATGCACCTGGCTGCCTCACAGACCCTTGCACTATGTCCTTTGAGTGACATGGCCATTCATCCCCACACCCCCATCCACGCAGTTCTGTCTGCTTGTTTGCTCTGCCCTGCTGGTCTCCTGCAGCCTCTTCAGGATGTTAACCGTTCACCTCGGGAACTGGGCTGAAGGGAGAAGTGGCAATCCAAACATTGCTGAGAGCTTCCTTTTCAGCTGGTGACGGGCTGGGCCCAGAATCCCCTGTGGTCTGATGCTCGGTCTGGCTTGTACTGGGATTGGTGCCAGAGGAGGGGCAGACTGAGCTTGGCTGGGGAAGCTAATGGGCTGGGCAGAGGACTGTGCCCACTGGAGGGGTGGAGGTGGGGGGGCTTAGCCCTTTCTGGCAGAGTCCTGGGCCTGGTGAGTGTGGCTCGCCTACAGGTGCAGCCCCTACAAGGCCACCTCAGAAGCAGGATGCAGCCCACCCTGCCGGCCTCTGTCCATAGTGCCCACCTGGCACCCACCCGGTCCGCTGAGCTCCTTTCTGCCCTCCCTGCAGGCAGGCCTCTTCCCTGCTGCCCTTGTGCACTTCGGAGCTGAGGAGCCGGCAGGTGAGGGAGGGCCCCTCGCTCTGCCTCCTGATGCCGGCCAGCCCTGGGCCCTGTGTCCTGGCTTGTCAGATGCCCCAGAGCAGGGAACTTCCTTTGGGTCTGGGAGGTAGGCCAGTGGGCCTGATATACCCCTCCCTCCTGTTGGGCCGTGCCCCCTCCCAGGGCAGAACAGCAGTCGGGTGGTGGGCCCCGCTCCTGATGGCTTGATGGCGAGCCGGGCTTCCTGCAGGCCTCTACCTGGAGCCCGGGCTGCTAGCACACACGGTCTCCCCATCCGAGGCTGACATGCTTGTGGCCAGGTGAGTGCTTGTCATAAGATGGGAACAGCCCATCACCATGGTGCCAGCCCATCACTACGGTGCCCACCACCTTGTCCCCCGGCCTTCTCTCCACAGGTGCATGTCCAGGGCTGCTGGGACCCCACCCCTGCTGCCAGCTCCTGACCCTGTGCCCCTTGAGTTGGAGCCACCTACTGAGGAGGGGGCAGTGGGGTCCCCTGAGCCCAGCCCTGGGGTGGCGCAGCCCGTGAGGAGGGATCTAGGCAAGGTGCCCAAGTGGCTGAAGCTGCCAGGTACTATAGGGGGTGGCCTGGCTGGGAGGGGCTGCTGGGCAGGAGCTGGGGCCCTGGAAGTCACCTCATGTGTTTGCACAGCAGCCGGCAAGAGGTGAGTGCCGCCAGCCTGGAGGTGCCCACTTTGTCGGCCACAAGACGCCTCCCGACCGTGAGTGCGAATAAAGGCGTGAGCTTCTGGAGACCTTCCTGTCTTCTCTCTCTGGGAAAGGGTGCCACCCAGCCCTCGGGGCAGGGCCGGAGCTCCCAGGCCCAGGCCTCCAGCTGGATCCCAGGGCTGCCGGGGGTGGGGGGTGGGGGAGGAGTTCCTTTGAACAAAGGTACAGGTGGCCTGCTTGAGCCAGTGGCCGCCTCACGGATTTGACCCACCTGCCTCCAGCCTCCCTGCTCCTCTGGAGCACAGGGGTCGGGAACAGGCGGACAGGCACCACCTGCCTGGCTGCCTCGGGGGTACCCCGTCATCTCTGGCAGGAGGGGACTGGCCGGGCTGCCTGGGGCGCCCTGGTGCCCCGCCCACCCTCCCCATCAGAGCCACTTCAAAGTGGCTGCGGGCACGGGTTCTGGCACTGGCCTGGCCGCCAGCCTCTCCCTTCAGGTCTAATTACTTCCACATGCTCCCTGGCTTTGAAGCCCTGAGACTCCCTGAGGGGAGGGGGCGGGGGCAGAGGCTGGGAAGGGGACAGGGAGGGAGGGAGGGCTTGCCCCTCCGGTGGCCTCCTCAGGTGGGGCGTTTGGGTGGGGGGTGGAGCTGCCCCTGCAGGTCCTCCCAAGGCTCCTCTGGTCCCTGTGGCAGGCGGGTGGCTCAGTAGGGGCAGCTGTTGTCCCACCAGTCCCTCCACCAGTGGACTGTGTCCTGTGGCTCTGTGTCCCCAATTCCTTGGGCACTGGGCCCAGACCCCTTGGGTGTTTCCCGTCCTGGGCTCTGATGAGTCACAGCTGCTTTCGGAACTAAAGGGATGTGGGTGCTGCAGGGTGGGGAGGACAGGGTTCGGGGTGGTCCAGCTCTTGGCGTCCAAAGGCAGCCAGACCTCCCGGACAGCCTCCAGCAGGAGTGCCTGGTGGGCACAGCCCCGAGGCAAAGGCAGGGCCCCCGTGGCCCGTCTCCAGGACCCCCACCCTGCATGTGCGGGTCATTCGTGCCAGCATGATGCCGCCACCACCAAGACCCTGCCCACGCTGACATTCCTGGGCGAGCTGCCATTTGGTGGCAGCCCCACGGCAGGAGCACTGTGTCCCCATGAGCCGCATGTGCGAGGGCTCCCATCTTCCAGCCTTGAGGCAGCGTTGGGGACCCTCACATGCAGCTCATTACTCTGATTTCTGGCCGAGCTTTGTCCTGCTGCAATGGATTGAGGGGGCCGGTAGGCTTTGAAGCAACTTGGCTTTGGGTGATTAATGGCAGTGAGGAGGCTATGCTTGGGAGAGGCAGCTTTGATTTATTGGTGTCGCTCTGTGAACACAAATTTATGGTTCAGGAAAGCACCTTCTGAGGGGAACAACCAGCGGTTCAAAGGTTATACAGCAGCTTTGACGTTGGGGTGGCAGGCTGTGCAGCTCCACCTGTAGGAGATGGGCCACCTGCTCGGGCAGCGGGCATGGTACCAGTGCTTCTCCCACACCAGACCCCACCCCTCAGTTCCCCCCACCTGTGTCCGGCCGTCAGCAGGGCAGAGCGTCTGCTGGAAGCTGGCCTGGCCTTCGGGGCTGGAGGAAAGGCTCAAGACGTACAACTCCTTCCCCCTAAGGCCGAGGTCCCAGGAGACAGTGCGGACATGGGGACTGGCTGTGGCCTGGGCAGGTGGTTGCGGCAAGGGTGGAGACTCCTAGAAATCCAGAAGCTGTGAGGGAGAGGGGTGCTCAGAGCCTCATGGGCACCAGCCCACCCCCACCCCCCGGCTCAGCAGGCCATCTCCCCGGGAGGGCGGGATGGGATGGGATGCCGAGGCTGCAGAGCAGACCCTACCAGCTGCGGCAGCACCTTCTCCAGCTGGTCCACGTCCACACGGGCTAGGTCCTCTGCCTGGGCCTGCCGGACGCCCCGGATGGCTGCTTCTGCCGTGGCGAAGAGGGAAGTGAGAGGCGAAGGCTGCGGGGGCTTGAACTCCCCCACCCATGCCAGCTGCCAGCTCAGAGAACCAAGGTCATGGCCCATGAGACAGCTTTCCAGTGGCAAAGGGCTTAGGTGCTCATGAGAAAATGGGAAAATGTGTCTTGGTTTCCTAACTGAAGAACAGAAGGCAAAGCGGGTCACAGATGGTCTGGATGAGCCTGGGTCGGACACAAGAGGACACTGCTGGGGTCCCTCAGCTCACCCACAACGAAGATCTTGAGCAACTCCGTCACCAGCTGCAGCGCATCCCCGCTGACTGCAGGGTGGAGGGAGCAGGTTAGGGGGCTGCGCCCTCCCCTGGTCGGACCTACCAGCACCCCCTGATGTTCTTCCTCAGCACCTCTGACCTGGTTCACCCTTGCATGGGTGACCCCCAGCCTCCCCCACATCCAGTGCTCACAAACCTCTGGTCTTGGCGTCCTCAAAGTGCAGGTGCAGTAGCCTCCTCACTAGTTCCTGGGGGACGAAGGGGGCGTCAGTGGCCTAGGACCCCACCCTGCTGACTGCAGACCCCTTAGGCATTTAGTTATGGATGGGACTGGGTGGTGGGGAGAAACTTCACTGTGGTTGTGTGGCAGACAGGTGGGAGCAGCCCAGGTGGCAGTCCACTGCCCTGAGGCTCCAGTGCCAGTGGGATCCAGGGCAGACCATTCACATTCCCAGGGCCCAGGTGTTCTCCCCATGAGGGGCTGGAGGGGGCTGCTCCCATGATGGACTCACTTGCAGGTCTGTCCACACCACCACCACCACCTAGTGCCAGTTCCTGCTCTGGGCACAGGTCAGCTCCACCTGCGGGCCCTCCCTGAAACCTATGACATGGCGCTGAAGGGAATCTTCTGGAACCCATGGGTGCTGTGGGAACCGCAGAGATGGGCAGGCCCGTCTGCTCCATGGATGGGTGGATGGGTAGGAGAAAAGGATGGGACAAGGTGGGTCCAGGCTCCAAGCTGAGGGCTTGAGCCACCAAAGGATGGCGCCACTCGGGAGGTGGGCTCTGCTCCGGGTGCTAGGTGTGGGAAGTGCTGAGGGTGGGAAATGCGAGGTGCCCAAGCAGGGTGGGCAGGTGGGTGCTGGAGCCGAGAGAGGTTGGGATGGTGATGATCTGGAAGGTGGCGCAGGGCGCAGGGCCAGCCCTCAGAAGCGGTGAGAGGCAGGAGGGCGGCAGCAGCCAGAAACCCAGAAACGGTGTCGTGCAGGGAAGGCGCGCGAGGGACCAGCCAGGCCTCCCGCCTTAGCCGCGCCCTACAGAGCGCGGCAGGGCCGAGCAGAGCAGGGGGAGCAGCAGGCCGGCCACGGGGCCGGGCTCAGAAGGCCCGAGCTCGGCGGCCGCTCACTTCTAGGAAGCGAAGCTGCCTCAGCGGCCTTGCCCTCCCAGCAGAGACCGTGCGTGCTTGGCGCCACCTGCTGGCCCTTCTCGCTGCTTACGAGGTTCCAGGAAAGGCCCAGAAGGCTCTACTGTCCAATTTGCTTCTGGACCCCCAGGAAGAGCTAAGTCAACCAGCATCCGGTGGAGGGGGGCAGGGGGGTTGCTGCACAGGGCTCTTGCCACAACCGAAGGGGCCAGCACCAGCTGGGAGTGACGGCTCCCAAACGAGGGACGCAGAGTCACAGAGGGCAGGCTGGGGCCTACATGCACTCAGGGCCCCTCTGTGTGTGGGAGCTACAGTCCCCTGCCTCCCTGTCACCACGACCGCAGCTCCGGCTAGACCTCTCAGGGTGAGGACTCCGGAGTCTCCAGGCCAGCATGATGGAGCCCAAGCCTGGGGCTCCCTCTCCGGCTATTGCAGTGGGATTCTCAGAGCTACCCTGCTAGGTCAGGCCAGCCTCACTGACTTTCCCTTTTAGATTATTGAGCCCTTCTGGGCCAGGGCAGAGCCACGACCCCAGGGTGAAAAGGAGAAGGCTAAAGCAGAAGGTGAACAAAGCAGAGGTCCCCTGTGCCTCTGCAAGGCTGAGACCCCACCACCAGAGACTGGCGGGACAAGGAAGAGCTAGCTCATGAGGGTCTGAGACCCTTCCTCCCTCCCCAGGTCACAGAGGCCCACAGGCCTTCCTTGGCACTTACCTGATGTCAAGGGCTCAGTGCCCCCTAACCTTAGGGCAGAGCATCAAAGGGAGCCTCGGAAACCACTGAGCCTGCAGGAGCGGGGAGCCAGCAGCACTTGCCAGGCACAGGGGAAAGGGCGGGGCCTCGGCGTCAGCTGGCTCGCTTCCCCACGTGGGGACAGTACTAGTACCCGCCTCCTGGTGCTAAGGTGGCCGCGCGTTAGATGGTTTGGCTACGGAAAGTGCACGCGGCGGTGCCTGACTGCGTCAGGGGGGTCACTAAAAGAGCACTTGAAGAGCGTGCACACACCCTGCGGAAGACGTGCTGGCGCTTGGCTCGCGCGCCGGGGACCAGGGAAAAGGGAGGATTTGGAATATGCAGGCGCTGTGGCTAGCAGAGAGCTGGGCCGAACTGCATTCCATGCTAGGGCTTTAGGGGACGCCTGGCCGCGCCCCTGAGCACCCCGCACGTCTTCCGTGCCGGCCCCGCTCGGCCTGCTCTCTGCAGACTCTCGCCCTCTTGCCTATCGACCTTCTGCTGGCGCCCCCACCACGGAGGCTGGATTTTGGGAGTGGACCCACCCTCGAAGGCCCCGCCGGAGGCCCGCCAGCCTCGTCCCCGGCCCCGGCCCCCTGCCCCGCCAGGCCCTCTCCCCCCGCCCCCTGCCTCGCCAGTCCCTCGCCTCCGCCCGGCCGCCAGACTGCCCTCACTTTCCGGAATCCGCCACCGGTTTCTTCCATGACTGTCCGTGCGACGGGCGCCGTCCTCAGCAGCGCCCCCGCACCGCCCCAAAAGGCCCGGAGCGCGCCTTCAGAAGCCCCGCCCCGGAATCCGTAGCCAATCGGTCCAGAGCGCGCCCTCGTTGGCTCCGCCCCGCCCCGCCCCAAAGAGCCCGGAGCCCGCGGCCTCGGCTCCACAGGCTTCACAGCCCGCAGTACGCACCGCCCCTGCGCTTTCATTGGCCCGCTGCGGGCGCCCCAAAGCCTCCTGGGAGGCTCTTCCCGGCGCTCCCCGCTCTTCCTGGAAACCGCGGCATCGCGGAGGCGGCCGGCACTCAGTCCCGCGAGTGAGGGAGGGTTCGCTGCGCGAAGGCTGGGGCTGGGTCCTGGGGTGCGCGCGACGCCCGGACAGCCCCCGCCGCGGGAGCCCCGTGCCAGGGGGAGGCCTCCGCAACCCCCCGCCTCCCCGCCTCCGGGCCGCTGCTCGAGCGGCCACCCGTCCGCCCGGGGCCTCTCATCTGTGGCAACGCCTCAGCATTTGTTACTCGTTCCTCAGCTGCTGAGGACTTAGGGGTGCTTGTGCCACGCGGAGTGCGGGGGGCTCCCCTCAGGAGAGGGGCGCTGCCCACCGACCGCAGGCAGAGGGGCCGGGTGGCAGGGCCGCAGCTGCCCAGGGCGAGGCCTGCCCCGAGGAGCGCGCCGGGGAAGCCCAGCAGCGCCCTGGGGGCATGGAGGAGCTCCGGCGCTCCTACAGCCGGCTGTGCAAGGAGGGCGGGGCCGAGCCCCAGGAGGCCGTCTTGCAGCAGCTACACCAGCTGCCGCGGGGCCGGCTGGACCTGGCCACTCAGAGCCTGACAGTGGACACCTGCAGGGCCCTGGGCAAGCTGCTGCAGAAGGAGACGCTGCTGACGGAGCTTGTCCTGAGTGACTGCATGCTGAGTGAGGAAGGTGGGCACGAGAGGGCGGGTGGGGCCGGGGCAGCCCCTGCAGGGTCAGAGTTGGGGTTGGGGTCAAGCCCTTTGCCTCGGGGTGGCCTCGCCTCGCCGTGTTTGTCCTGCTGCCCCTCTGCTGCGCGTGCCCGGCCTGCGACAGTCCTGGCAGCCTCCGGCAGAGAACTCGTGCAGCCCTTGCCGTCTCTCCTGTGTGAGGCTTCTCCTCCTCTGCACCGTGGCTGAAGTGAGCGGCATCGTGCCTTCCTGAAGTTCGGGGTCAGAGAGCCGTTTCTGTTCGTGGTGGAGAAGCCTTAACGTCCCTGGCCTAGGAGATCACCAGCGTGACCCATGAGGGTCAGCGGCCGGCTCTGCAGCAGGCAAACGTGGCAGACGTTTCACACCTGATGTGGAGAGTGGAGCGACTCATTTTGAGCATGGACCCTGATGGGTGGGAACTACCCAGTGGTCCCTCTCCTCCATCTGGGGAGCTGCCCCAAGATGGAGCCCTCAGAGAGGGGCTCAGGGCGCCAGGGGCAGAGAGTGACCGCTCTATCCACTTACAGGGGCCGCACTGCTGCTCCAGGGGCTGTGTGCCAACGCCGTCGTGCGGCTTCTAGATCTGAAAGTGAGTAGATCTGCACTTGGTGTGCCAGCCTGAAAGCAGAAGTAGAAGGGGAAGACTCAGGTGTGCCAGCAACCTGGGGTCTGAGAAAGCCAGAGACAGTGTCTGTAAGCACTCTGGTGGCGGGACTCAGCCCGTTTCCGATGGCCTTCATGCATGTATGAGGGCAAGAACCTGAGTTCCAGAGAGTTCACAGGAGCCAATGGAACAAGCCCACTACATTCAGGGAAGGCAGGATCAGAGAGCAGCTGTGCCCTCTGCCCAGCTCTCATCCCTGCCTCTGTTCACTGCCCAGGCCCCTGTGGGTGTGCATGCGGTTTCCAAAGGCCAGCCTGGGGCAGCAGGGAGTGACTGGACCACCTGTTCTTGTCTTAGGGCAATAACCTTCGTGCTGCTGGGGCTGAGGCTCTGGGAAGACTCCTCCGACAGAACAAGTGCATTCAGAAGTGAGGTGGTCTCGGCCCTGTCCCCCAGCCCCTCTCTCTGCATGGCTCAGGGTTGGCCCCCGTGAACACACTGTTGCAGTCTGAGGGAGCTCACTGCCAGGCCAGTGGTCTGCGTGGCCCTGTTGCCCTGAAACAAGAGGTGGGGTCTGGGGGGAGTAGGAGGGTCCTTCTTACTCACGTGGCTCCAGCCTTCCTGCCAGAGACTCCTGAGCCTGTGCCCCTGCTCACGCCCCCTGGACTGTGGGAGGGTGGGCGCGCCTCGGAGCCACGCACCTCACGTCCACCCTCCCCGCAGCCTCACCCTGGAGTGGAACAATCTGGGTGCGTGGGAAGACGCTTTTGCCACCTTCTGTGGGGCCCTGGCAGTCAACAGCGCCCTGCGGCAGCTGGACCTCCGCAACAACCAGATCAGCCACAAGGGTGCTGAGGGGCTGGCCCTGGCCCTGAAGAGCAACGCCAGCCTCCAGCAGCTGGGTGAAGCCCCCCACCCCTGCACTGGTCGTCTCCCCCTGGGTCCTTCGTCCTGCTGAAGCAGGGCTGTGGGGCGGGGAGGAGGGCCAGCTGTGCTGGGCTCCTGCTCCGGTGGTAATCACGCAATATTCTCCCTGAAAAGGAGCCAGGCCCCCCGAGGTGCATTCCATCTGATAACAACAGGTTTCCTTTCAGACCTGCGCTGGAACAACGTGGGCCTCCTGGGAGGCCGAGCTCTGGTGAACTGCCTCCCCAGCAACAGAACCCTCTGGAGGCTGGAGCTGGCTGGGAACAGCATCCCCAGCGACGTCCTCAGAGCTGCGGGTATGGGCGCATGGGGCTGCCAGCAGTTCGCACCATTTGGAGCAAGGCATGAAGCTGATTTCCTCTGATAGGCCCAGCCACTGAGGAGGGGTGGCTCAGGGCTTCTGACACATAAGCATCTCACGACAGTCTAAATTAAAAACAGGACAGGGAGGGTGCCATAGAAAGAGTTGGCAGTGAGTTCAAGTACCACTCACTGCCTACAGCCACTCCAAGCATACCCTTGTGTGTTGTCCTGGTTCTCAGACTGTGTGAGGTGAGGAGGGTCATCAGTTTCACAGATGAGGAACCCAAGGCAGTTGGGCTCAGGGCCTTGCCGTAGCTGGGGAGCGCTTCTTGGCATTTCCCCCCATCACCACCTCGGTCCCAAGTCTGTGTCTGAGCATGTGCGCTGTCTAGGAGCAGGGCCACCTGGCCTGAGCTGCCTCTGCGGGTCCAGGGCCTCTGCAGTCACCTGAGATGATCCCGGCACTTCAGCCCCGGGCCTGGCTGAACACTCTGCTACCCCTGGGGGCTCCTTGCCTGGCCATGGGGTCCCCTGGCTTCTTGGTTCTTGGTCCTACCCCCAAGTCGCCCCAGCTGCTGTAATCACCTCTGATGCCAGGGCCACTTCCGGCTGGCCCCTCTCCAAATGCTTCCTGGGTCTTTTCAGAGCACAAGCTGAGCACAGCATTCACCTTTTCAAAGTCAAACTGTGGTTCCTGACCTTAGGGATGGCGCTCGCCCTTTGTGGCAGTGGAGCGGCCTCCCCTGCCCCTCTCCCTGTGCACTGGGTCTCCTGGCCCCACTGTTGCCCCCACCTCTGCTGAGGCTCTTCACCCGTTAGTGTGACACCACAACGCACCGGGGGCCTGGTGGGTAGTTTGGCTCCTCCCAACAGAGCGAGCCATGGATCACAGCCAGGAGCGGCAGGCCGCTCAGCAGGAGAACCAGGCCCGCACCCACACGCTCAGCAAGGAGGTGCGGTGCCTCCGGGAAGAGAAGTCCAAGCAGGTAAGGATGGCGCTGCCTCGGACCCAGGCCCTGCCCTGGCTGCACAGATGAAGGGTCCCCCTTGGCCTCTGTGCTGTGGCCGTCTTCCCTTCCTCTGGGCGCTTGAGTCTCAGAGCCGCCAGTACCCAGGCCCGAGAGACACCTCCTGGTCTGACCCCTGCCCTGGTGGGGCAGTAGGTGGGCGTTCACGGGGCCTCCCTGTGCCGGAGCTGTCCTGCCTTTGAGGAGGCTGAGCCCTTTGCTCTTTCGCTACTTCGGTGGGTTAGGTCTCCTCTCCTTCCTGCCTGACCTGGGGAAGTGGGCAGGCCCAAGGCCCTGACAAGCCTCCGTCTGGTTCTGTCCCCAGTTTCTGGGCTTGATGGAAACCATCGATAAGCAGCGAGAAGAGATGGCCAGGAGCAGCAGGTAAGCTCAGCCCCAGGCCTGCAGGAGGCAGAACTGGGGCCCAGGGGAGGTGCCCAGGTTCAGATCCTGCCTGCGGCCTCACTGGTGACTTCACATGGGCCTTGTTACCTGCCCATGGGTGAGTTGAAGCATGTGCTTCTCAAGGAGGTTGGCTGGAGGGCTGGGGCCACAGAGCACTTCCTTGGCCCAGGGCCCTGCGTACTGTCGGGGCATTAAGGATAGCAGCTGCACTGGGCCCAAGGGAGCCTGGAGGCTCTGAGGTTTGGGTTTCTTGGGCCCTCCTCTCTGCCCACAGGGCATCAGCAGCACGCATGGGGCAGCTGCAGGAAGCCTTGAATGAGAGGCACTCCATCATCAATGCCCTCAAGGCCAAGTAAGCAGGGGCAGAGGGCAGGTGGGAGGGCTGGGGGTGGGGGAAGCGGCTTCAGAATACTTTGGAGACATGCCCACGAGCAGAGGCAGGTGGTGCAGACAAGGACCTGAGCCCACAGTGTACCAAGCAGAAGGAAGTGGCAGGAGTGGTAACCCAGGAAGGCTTTTTGTAGGAGGCACACACTTGCTAGGGTGAATAGCAGCCTGGTGGTAGTGAGAGCCTAAGGCTTGAGGTGGCGCTTGGGTGGGGCTGGCCCTTCCCTCCTTTCAGGCTGCAGATGGCTGAGGCTGCCCTGGCTCTGTCTGAGCAGAAGGCCCGGGACCTGGGCGAGCTCCTGGCCACCACAGAGCAGGAGCTGCGGGGCCTGGCACAGAGGCAGGCAAAGGAGCACAGGCTAGAGCAGCAGGTAGGCACGGATGGACAGGCTGGCGGCGTGTAGGGTCGGCACCTGCTGCTGGGCAGTGGGTGACCAGAGGGCACTTGCCCTGTCTCACCCCCAGGAAGCTGCAGAGCGGGAGTCTAAGCTCTTCAGAGACTTGTCTGCTGCCAACGAAAAGAACCTGCTCCTGCAGAACCAGGTATGGGGGTGTGGAGCCAGGCCTCCCTGGGGGCTCGGGGGCAAGGCTTCCCTCCGTGGGGTCTGCTCTCCAGGTGGACGGACTGGAGCGGAAGGTGAAGTCTCAGCAGGAGCAGCTGTTCCTGGCCAGGCAGGAGCTGACCGACACGTCGGCCGAGCTGAAGATGCGGGCTGTGCAGGCCGAGGGTGGGCACATGCAGGCCTGCTACTGAGGGGCCTGGAGGCGGGAGCGCCAGGCACAGGCGGGATGCCAAGTCCTGGGAACGAGGGCACCCCTAAAGGAGTCCCACCCACGCTCTCCCCCTGGGCTTCCAGAGCGCCTGGAGCTGGAGAAAAAGAGGTCCCGGCAGAGCCTGGAGGACTCGGAGCGCCTGCGCCTCAAGGAGGTGCCTCATCAGTTGCATCATTCGTCTCCTGCTCTCCCCACTGCCCACCCCCAGGGTTGCAGTGGTGTCCCCAAAGCACTCCCCTGGCCGGGCTCCCCTCGACAACCTTGAGGGGCTGGGTGGCAGTTCTTTGCCTTTCCTGGCTGACTTCGGACCCAGAACCTTCTGACCAGGTTCTAGAAGGGCCCCTGACCATGCTGGGACCACACCACAACGCAGACTGCTGTGTGTTCCGTGCCACATGGGGCACTTAGGGCAGCCCATTCACAGAAGGGTTCCCGAGATTTTCCTGCCTGCCCAGGTCGGGGGTCCTGCTGGGGAAGTCTGGGGAGCCAGCCTGCCAGCTCCACCTCCTCGCTGGCCCTGGACAGGTGGAGCACATGACTCGCCACCTGGAGGAGAGTGAGAGGGCCATGCAGGAGCGGGTGCAGAGGCTGGAGGCCTCGAGGCTGTCCCTGGAGGAGGTGAGCACCCGGCTCCTCTGGGTATCAGGCCCGGCCCTCCCCAGGTATCCCTCCTGTGGTCGCAGAGCCTCGGGTCCCGCTCACCAAGGAGGAGGGGATGTGGGCTCCCTTAGCCTGGTGAGCAGAGTCTCTGGAGGCTGGTGGGAGGATGCTCCCTGGCCCAGCAGCTGGCTGGGGCCAGCAGGGATGCCCAGTGGGTCGCTGTCACCATGCAGGAGCTGAGCCAAGCAAAGGCCGCAGCACTTGGCGAGCGCAGCCAGGCCGAGGAGGAGCTCATTAAGGCCAAGAGCCAAGTGCGGATGGAGGAGGTGAGCTCACAGCCATGCCACTGGAGGGGTGGGACCCACTGCTTGCAGTGCCCACCAGGGAGGGAGGGCAGAGGCTGGGCATGAGCTGCCTGGGATGGCACAGCCTGCAGGACCGGCATGGTGAGAGCAGGGCTGTCTCCTGGCTCTGAGTAGGCAGAGCTCCAGGGGTACAGGGAATGTGGGAGAGTCAGAGCAGGTCCTTCGTCCCATCAGCACCACCCCCCTCCACCCCACAGAGCAGCCGTCACCCTTTCCCAAGGCAGGGCAAGGGGTTTGGCCCATCCGTGCTGCCTGTGACTGCGGCTGAGGGTGGGGAGCAGAGGCACGATGGAGTCAGCATGGGGATGGGGAGCCCAGGAAGGGCGCTCCCCAGAGCTTCATTCAGGTTGGGCCTATCCAGAACAATATACAGATAAACGAGCGACAAAGCAGTTTCCATATTGCAAATAAAAGCTCCCCCTGGGCTGAGCAGGGGTTCACTTCACATGTGAGCCCTGTGTCGTATGCCAGGAGGCAGCAAAGCAAGCTAGCCTTAAACCCCCTCGGGCTCAGCGGCCCCTCTCTGGTGCCCACAGCAGCAGCGCCTGGCTCACCTGGAGGAGAAGCTGCGGCTGCTGGCGCAGGCGCGGGACGAGGCTCAGAGCACCTGCCTGCAGCAGAAGCAGTCGGTGGCTGATGCCCAGGCCCGGGCTGGCCAGCTCAGCCTGCAGGTGGAGGGCCTGCAGAGGCGCCTGGAGGAGCTGCATCAGGTAGGTCTGACTTCAAAGGCTCCCAGGGGTACCCTTGGTGCCCAGCTGCCGCCTCACCCCTGTGCCTGATAGGAGCTGAGCAACAAGGACCAAGAAAAGGTGGCTGAGGTGGCCAGGGTGCGGGTGGAGCTGCAGGAACAGAACGGCCGCCTGCAGGCCGAACTGACGGCCCTGGAGGCGCTGAAAGAGAAGGCGGCGGCCCTGGAGCGCCAGCTGAAAGGTGAGGGGCCAGAGCAGCCCCGGCCCGTCCAGCAGGTGGCTGGGCCTGAGAGCTGAGCTGAGTTTAGGTCCCAGCCCCGAGAGCTGCCCGAGTGTGACTGCATCCGGGGGAGTGGCGCGAGGCCGCGAGGCCCCTCTACCCTCCTGCTGGCCTTTGTCAAGCCCCCTAGGTGGAGGCGGCGCTGCGCACCCCGTTTCATTGCGTTTTCTTCCCTGCAGTGATCGCAAGTGACCACCGGGAGGCGCTGCTGGACAGGGAAAGCGAGAACGCCTCCCTTCGGGAGAAGCTTCGGCTTAAGGAGGCTGAGATCGCCAGGATCCGCGACGAGGAGGCCCAGAGGGCCGTCTTCCTGCAAAATGCTGTTCTGGCCTACGTGCAGGGCTCCCCCCTCAGGGCCCTGAGCCCCAAAAAGTGAGGGGAGGCAGGGAGACCATAAGAGCGGCAGGCAGGTGGCATTTGCCCACGTCTGGGTTCCAGCTCTGCTGTCCATTCTTATCAAGGGACAGGACATCAGGCAGGTCCACGCTACTGATGCAGGGTCTTCAGCTGGAAAATCAGTGCCAAGATGGACTGGCAAGTGGGAACTCTGCAGCTCGCCACCACTGGGTGGGCAGTCTGACCGGCCAAGGGGATGGCATGGGCATTGCCTGGCCCAGGGAGTGGTGGTGCCCGTGACAGAAGGCTGTTTGCAGGAGCCTGAGCAGTCCGGGCACCACGCGGCCTTGGGCATGTTCCCTAGGGCATTCGGAAATACAGAACATTTGTATTTTGTGATTCTTTTTGGGCCCGGTCCTTTTCTCCCACATCAGCCCTTATTTTCAGTCGGGATGGGAGACCCTCCGCCTGCACCCTGCAGCAAAGACCCTCCAGCGGGTGGCTGAGTGGCCCCTCCCGACTGACTGCTGCCCGCAGCAGGCCGGCCGGTGGCGCTGCCACCCAGGCGGGGTTCTGAGACTGCAAACACCAGCTGCCTCTGGTTGGAGGGCGGGCCCAGGGATGCGCTCCCGGAAGAGGACACGTGCGCGCAGATCACCTAGTGCACGCTCCCGCTCCCGCCTCCTCCCACCTTCCCTGCCCCAGGCCCTCCGCTCCGGTCCAGGCACCCGGTGCCCCCGCCCCGCCCGACCTGCGTTAGGCGCGGCGGCGTCGCCCAAGCCCGCGCCCCCCACCCGCCGCGCTCGGCTGTCTCCGCGTCCGGCGCTCGGCGGCGCTCGGCTGTCTCCGGCCGCTCGGCTCGGCGCTCGGCTCGGGTCCGCGGCCGCTGCGGCGCCGGGCATTTCTCCGCAGCTCGGCTCGCGGCCGCGCCCGCCCGCCTGGCCCGCGCCCATGCAGGCCATCAAGTGCGTGGTGGTCGGCGACGGGTGAGTGCGCGGCGCGGAGGCAGCGGTGGGCAGGGAGCGGCTCCGGGGACCCGGGCGGGGCACGCGGCGCCAGGGCGCGGCCGGGGCGGAGGAGGCGACGCGCACAAACGGGAGGGGTGCGGGGCACCTGCCAGGCGGCTCCCAAACTCTCGACGACCCCTCAACCCCGTGGTCCGGTCGCGGGCCTCCCGGGACTGGGCAAGGGCAAAGGCGGGGTGGGGCGGGGTCCCGGCTGGCCCTGGGGCGTGGGCCTCCCCCAGGCCCACCTGATGCTGCCCAAGCCCCCGCCCGCCCCTGCCTGGCCTCCGGGTGTGTGGGGCCGGGTCTCTCACCTGTGCTAAGACCTTAGCCCCACTCTCCCGGGTGCCACCCTGCACCCCTTCTCTGTCCCCCGGAGGCCGCCTGCCTTGGTCTTCCTACTCCAGCCTTAGGTCGCTGTGGATCCGCGGGACTGGGACCTCTAGTGTGTGGCCCCGTGGGAGGGGGCTGTCCTTGCTGGGCGGAGAGCCGAGGTGCAGCCAGGGAGCACCGTGTGCTCACCCTCTGTCCACAGCGCCGTGGGAAAGACCTGCCTGCTCATCAGTTACACGACCAATGCCTTCCCGGGAGAGTACATCCCCACCGTGTGAGCGGGCTGGACAGGTGGTCCTCCCAGGGGTGGGCCTGGGCACCTGTGCATGGGACTCCCCTGGGCTTCTGGAGCGGGGCCGAGGCGCTGCCAGAGCTCCAGGCCGCGCAGGCCTGAGGGTCCGAGCCCGGCCGGCCCCCCTGCTCTGCCCCTGCAGTTTCGATAACTACTCCGCCAACGTGATGGTGGATGGGAAGCCAGTCAACCTGGGGCTGTGGGACACTGCTGGGCAGGAGGACTACGACCGGCTGCGGCCACTCTCCTACCCGCAAACTGTAGGTGCCGGCAGGGCCAACCCCCAGAGCTGGGTGGCTGGGGTGGGCCCCTGAGCCCTGATGTCAGGGGCACAGGGGCCTTCTGCAGCCTCCTTGACCGCCGCCGCCTGGGCCCCCTTCTCTCAAGGACGTCTTCCTGGTCTGCTTCTCCCTGGTGAGCCCAGCCTCTTTTGAGAATGTTCGAGCCAAGGTAGGGCAGGGCTGGAGGGGCTCTGTGTGTGGGAGGGGGCTGCCCTGCCCACCTGCCCAGACAGCACAGGGGTCTCCTGCCTGACTGCCTTGGGCAACTTGGCCTGTGGGCGCCGAGGGGGGCCTGTTCTGCTTGGCATGGGGTCAGAAGGTGGTCCAAAGAGTGCTGAGGGGGCAGGGCCGGGGCAGAGGTGGCAGCGAGGCCCTCAGAGAAGGGCACGGCCCTGGCTTGGAGGCCTGTGAGGCCTTGGAGCTTCCTGGCTGGCACTGTTTTCCTTGCTCGCTTCCCCACCAAACCCAGTGGTGAGGCAGGAAGGGCCACGTGTGTCTAGCTGTGCGAGGAAGGCCCTCGGGAGCCGTGGCCTGCCCTGGGCCAGGCCGGGGGAGAAGCCCCCAGGAGGTACAGTCACAAGGGTCGGAGCTTCCATCCTCACAGTGGTACCCAGAGGTTCGACACCACTGCCCCCACACGCCCATCCTCCTGGTGGGCACCAAGTTGGACCTCCGCGACGACAAGGACACCATCGAGCGGCTGCGGGACAAGAAGCTGGCGCCCATCACTTACCCTCAAGGCCTGGCCATGGCCCGGGAGATCGGTGAGCCCGCCCACCGGCCTGCTCCGAGCGCCCCCTGCTGGCCCTCCCCCTCCTCACCGCCCCTCCCCCGCTGCTCCCAGGCTCAGTCAAGTACCTGGAGTGCTCGGCCCTGACGCAGCGGGGCCTGAAGACGGTGTTTGACGAGGCCATCCGAGCGGTGCTCTGCCCGCCCCCTGTGAAGAAGCCGGGCAAGAGATGCTCAGTCTTCTAGAGCTCGCCCTTACGGGGGCAGCGCGCCCCGTGGCCGAGTCCGCCGTGGGGGAGTGGTGTGGGTGGGGAGGGGAAGCATGGGGACAAGGCGGCCGCTCCTGGGGCAGCCCCGGGGCCAGGGGCGTCTGCCGTTGGCCTCCTCTTTCTGGGGCAAGGCCCCAGCCTTCCCTATAGCTCCTCCGGGAGGCTGGGAGGGAGCAGGGTCTCCCTCAGGCTGCAGGGGCGGGTCCGGGGCAGCCCCAGGGTGGGCTTCCCTGCTGGAGGAGGATGGGGGGGTTGTCCGCGTGTCCTGGATGGGGCAGCCCCTTATTTTGTACAATAAATGTTCCCCACCGACGCCTCCTGCCTGCCTTACCGCCTGCCCCCCCACCCAGTGGCACTTCGGCCCCAGCCACCTCCCAGCCATGGTGGAGGGCTGAGCCCGACCCCATGCCCTGGACAAAAGGGGACTTTACGGGGTTGTCTCGGTCCCCAGAGGAGGCGACCCGGATCAGAGGGGGAGTGAATGCATTGGCTCCCTTCTGGGTGAAGCCCCCCAGCCCATCATGCTGACTTCGGGCCTCCGGGAGGGTCACACACGGGAGCAAGGTGGGTTCTGCTCAAGCAGCGTGGTAGGGGGAAATCTGCAACCAGGGCCCATGGAGCCTACAGAGCCTGGCAGCCTCCCCACACCCCCAAGAGGTGCTGAGGGGCGCTGAGCTGGGGGGTGCAACAAGTCTGCAGGGGGAAAGGAATCCGCACCTCTGTGGGGACAGGTGCAGAGGTCAGAAGCATGGTGTGGAGAGAAGAGCAGGCGCATGCTGGCTTGGCAAAGCCAACTGCAAAAATTCCAGGAATTGTGCCAGCCTATTGTTAGACAGCCATTATTAAGGATTGCATAAACTTAAAATTGGCTGTATTAAAAACAAGTACTCAAAACGTACCACTTCCTAATTGTTTTTGTACATGTTACTATTACCTGTGCTTGCAGGGTCTTGCTTACTGTATCTATGTGGTGAGGGTCCCACATAAAGGTGGGGACTTGTGTTGCTCTCTCCAACTCCACCCTCAGTGACATCAAATTAGTGGGAGTATTTATACCATGGAAACTGGCAGCTTCTACAGCCAGCTTGATTTATTGTTAATTGTCTAGACTTAAAGAGATGGAGAAGTGCAGATTAAATTGAGGTGTGCCATGTCTGTACTCAGTATGTTGTGAATAACAGAAGGTTGTGTTAATGTTTTTCCAGTATTCAAAAACTATCATCAGATTCAGCAGAGATCACTCACCTCATTGACAAATTTAATGAAGTTCCAACATGTATTTTCCTTGTTTGACATTTGTTCAGTAAGAACTACACCCAGGAGCTGGTGGTTAAAAAAGAACTCCACTGCTTCCACCCCAAAGGCTTCTGGACAGGGCCAAAGGCCAACCTTGGTCAACTTCACAACCCTTCTTAGGAGCCGGCCTTATGGAAGGGCCCCCCTTCCAGCCACTGTTGGGGACTTGGCCAGGGCTGGAAATCTCAGGCACGGGAGCCATCAGTGCGCTTGCTGGCAAAGAATCATGTTTATTGGAGGGATGGGGGTTGGCAGGGCTGGGCTCAGCAAGCAGCAGGGTGTGTGGGTAGAGGGATCAGGTGACCAGGAAGCCCCCATCGACTGGCACGGTAGAGCCGGTGGTCATGCTGCTCCGGTCACTCAGTAAGAAGAGGATGGTGTCCACCACATTGTCCACTTCTGTGGGCAGGAGAAGGATGTTCTGCCCTCCATCTTTCCCTCCCACAGCTCACCTGGGCAGGTAACAGGGGCTACTGGTGCAACTTCCAGCTAGCATCTGCCTGACTCACCAGCAAACCTGCCAAGTGGGATTCGGTCCAACATGGTCTTGGCCTTCTGGGGGTCACTCCAGTTGGCCTGGCCCATGGGTGTCATCACCACTGTGGGGTTCACTGCATTCACACGGATCTGCATGGGGACAGAAGGGGGGTCAGCAAGGGGGCCTGGGGCACCCTGGTCACATGGGCTGGGGGACAGGAGGCATCCCAGTAGGCTCACCTTGTATGGCCCAAGCTCCAGAGCCATCACCTTGGTCAGCATGTCCACAGCACTCTTGGTGGTACCTGTAAGGAAGTGGGTGTGTGAGCCTGAGCTGGCTGCAGGTTGGGGGCAGGGAGCAGGAGACCGGGGCGCAGCTGGGGCTTGCTCACAGTAGACGCTGTGGTGGGTCAGTGCTCGCTGGGAGGCCTGGCTGGAGACATTCACGATGGACCCTGGGGCTCCCCGAGCAACCATGCCTCGGGCCACGATCTGGAATCGCAGAGGGCGCTCAAGGCAGGAGCCGTGTCACCCCCGAGGCCCCACTCCTGCTCTGCAGGCAGCTCACCTGGGACACCTGGAGGACAGCCCGCAGATTTACATCGAAGGACCTGGAGGCAGACGGACGGACCCTGGTCAGGCACCAGGGCTGCAGTCACAGGGGGCAGCCCTCCCCGTAGCGCTCCTCTTGGCCACCCCTGCAGGCTCACGCATCACACGCCTCCTTGGTGACCTCCAGGAAGGGCTGCAGCAGCGCCACGGCGGCATTGTTCACCAGCAGGTCCACGGGGCCCACACTGCCTAGCGCCTGCTCCGTGGCCTCCCAGTTGCCCAGGTCCACGCACACGGGCTCCACACCTGGGCACTGTGTGTATTTGAGGGTGGAGGGCAAAGCCACCAGAGGTTCCACGCCCAAAGGGGCACAAGTGGGCCTCTGCCCCACGAAGAAGGGTGTCTGGGACCTGGTGCCCTTTCAGCCCGACAGGGGGAAGAGAAGCCAGAGACCCCTTCCTAGAGGTCCCAGAAGAGCCAGCCACTATCCTAAGCTAGGAATCCCAGGCTGCTGGGTAGCGGGGAGGTAGTTGACGCGGCCTCTGGGCCACTGGGCAACTCAGAGCTTTGGACCCCGAGCCTGGCCCCGCCCCGGCAAGTCCACTTCCGCTCTGTGCGAGAGCGCCTCTGGCCCCGGGCCCGCAAAGCAGCCATTGCTGCCTTTTCCTAAGCCCAGGGGGCGCGTCGCCAGTCTCCCGGCTACTTGGCCGCTCATCCGGGGAGAGGGTGCGGAGCAGCCCCAGCGCCCGGCCCGTCGTCCCCGCCGCCCCCTGGGCTGGGGCAGGGCGGCCCCTACCTCGCGGACCAGGCTGTCCAGGTCGGCCCGGGTTCGGCTCACTGCCACCACCTGTGCACCCGCCGAGTGCAGCGCCTGGACCGTGCTGCGCCCGATGCCTGCGGGGAGCGCGGCTCAGCGTGGGCGCCACTCCCCAGCCTGCCGGCCCGCGCCCCCGCCACCCCTGCGCCCCGGCCCACCCTTTCCCGCCCCGGTGACCAGCGCCCGGCGGCCCGCGAGCCCCAGCTCCATGTTGGTGCGGACTGCCCCCCGCGCGGCGGCCCTGCAACTGCGAGCCCGGGCGGGGCCGGCAGAGCCAATCGCGGGACGGCGTCCCGGAGGGGGCAGGGACATTCAAATAGAAGCCCTCTCCGCAGGGCCGATTGGCCGGAAGGAGTGGACGCGGCCGGCCTTTCAAACTGCTGGGCGCTGACCCGTCTCCAAATAGGTTTAGCTGCCCCCGACAGCCTCGTTTTTCCCTGCCAAGGTGCCATTATTATTACAAAAAACAGATGTGGTGGTTAATACCAGAAAGATCGTGTAGCTGCGCGTGACATTGAGAGAACTCAGTGCTAACACTTCCTCTTTGTTTCTGAGAAGAAAAGTTTAGCAGAAAGGATTGCATGCCCCCCGTCGCGCGGACCGGGCCAGTGGCTCATGCAGGCTCCTTGCAACGTCCCGAGGAAAAGAGTGTGGATATCCCAAGAAGCCTGAATTAGCCTATGCCGATAAAAGTGCACGTCAGCCTCAAAGGGAGTTGAACCCCACGGCCACCCCGGCCAGCCCACAGGAGGCCACCAGCGCTTTAAAAAACTTGAATAAGATAGGAAGGGATCAGCCTGGAGTCATGGGGCTACACAGCGGCTCGCAAGGAACACATGCTTCCTGAGGCCTCAGGGTCAGTCTCAGTTGGACGTGTACCCGCGCACACACTGGCTCCCCCTATAAAAGTGAGCTTTGCTCTGTGGGTCATGGTGGAAAGTCTAGAACTGCTGCCAGCAGACAGCTGTGGCCGTGTAACCCTGGGCGAATACACCTTCCCAGCCGCAGGCAAAACACCTTGAAACCGAAATCAGTCAAAGGGAGAAATAAAGTGGGAGAAACCTGTTTATTGCTTCCACTGGCCCAGTCTCTCACCACCTGCTGCGAAAGGAGACCCCCCCAAACTCTCCGGTCCAGCTATGTCCGCACTCCCCCCTGATTACCTACTGACACGGAGATAGCTACTTCTCTTCACCCTTTGGAAGCACCTACTGATATTAGATGCACTAAGGCCCTGCAAGAGATCCTGGAAATACTGCAATTTTACCCACAGGCCAGGAGTAGCGAATTGGTGATCACAGGGCCTCTGGGTCATTGGGGCTTTGGTCTCTGAAAGGTGGACAAGCTGGACGAGAGAATGGCCAGGGGCTGCAGGAGGCCCAGATTTGAGAAGCCCCTGGAGGACAGCCAAGCAAGTCCTCCCCATCAGGTCTGGCCCTGTGGGGCAGCCCACATGCCCTGGCCACGCAGCAAACTCTGCCTTCTGCACTTAACTGTGACCCTGCCCTTTGCCTGCCAGAGGTCAAGGGAGGGACAGCCTGCAGTCCCCCAGAGTGGTGCCCAAATCCTTTCCCTCATCCTGTGACTCTGTGGCCAGCTGGACTGACCCAAGTCAGCTTCCCACAGATCTTGCTCTGGGAGGCCCTGAGGGGCTGGACAGGAGTGCCTTCAGTATTCCGGGCACCCTCTCGTACCCTGTACTCTCCCAGACCAGCAGCACCACTGCCTGGAGCATCCCGCCCTAGCCCCTTGTCCCCTGCCATCCTGACCAGGGTTGGACACTGCGCCGGTCCGGCCTCCTGACCACCTTAGGCCCCATCACACCCACACTCGAGCCTCCTAGATAACACATGTCACGCGAGGACCTGGTCCAGGCGCGCACAACAGAAACTGGAGAGTCTCGCAGGCCGCCCCACGCTGCAGGGCTCTTTTGCCTGATTCGAGTCAGGGGCAGTAGGTAGAGCAGCATATGTGGACCCCTTCCCAGCTTGGGCCTTCCTTCATGAGCAGTCCTGCAGGGGGAGGCGTGCCCCCAAACGGAGCTGGCTTCGCTGCGGCTGGGTAAACGAGACTGACCCAGCACCCTGCCCCCTCGCAGCCCGGCTGAGTGAGGCTCTGTCTTCCGGAGGGATGGCCTACGGTCCACGGCATCTCTCCCGGCTCTCCAGGCCCTTTCCCATCTCCGACCAGCATAGCTCAGAACATAATGCTGGGCGAAAGGGTGGATCCGGAGCTGTGGGGCAGGGAGGTGGCCGCAGGCTGCCCCCTGTCCTCTGCCCTCTGCCCAGGGCTGGCTGGATGTCCCCGGCAGTGGCTCGAGCAACAGGAATCCCCGAGAGGAAACTGTAGACCTCCAGCCGAAAGGCAGGGTCGGCGTGAATCTGCTGGCTTCAGGATTCGCTCCCTCCCCACTTCTGGGAAAGTTAAGTGAGTCACCCCGCTCCCTGACGGTCCCCTCCCCAGCCTCGCGGTGTATTCCTCCAGAGCCCTAGCACGCGCCAGTTGCAGGAAAATGGCCTCCATTTATTTAGACAAATACACCCCGGCACAGCTGAGGACACGGTGGGTGGGGACGGCAGAGGCGGGGTCTCCTGGTTGCAGGCGTGTGCGCGCAGAGCGCGGCCGGACGCGGGGTCTGGATGGAGGGTGGCAGGTGGGGCGGGCCGGGGGAGGAGGGGCAGGGTCGGCTGCGGGCCCGGGCGGCGCGGGGGGAGGGGTGCTGGGGCTCCGCAGAGGTGGGCGGCGGCCGCCGAGCTGCGCGCGCCTGAACCCCTGTCCCGGGCGCTCTAGGAGGCGAGGTACCCGGCGTCCACGAGGATGCCCGAGCCGCTGGTCGAGGCGCTGTAGTCGCTGAGCAGGAAGAGGATGCTGTTGACCACGTCCTCCACCTCTGCAGCGGACGGCGAGCCGGGTCGGTGGGGGTCAGCGCAGCTCTGCCAGCCGCCCCGGCAGCGCCCACCGAACCCCACAGCCCCGCTGACCTGCAAACTTCCGCAGGGGATGGCGCTCCTTTAGCTTCCGCACCACCTCAGGATCCGAACAGACTTGCTGGCCCATGGCCGTCAGCACCACCGTGGGGTTCACGGAGTTCACTCGGATCTAGGCATAAGGGGCCCCCGGGCGTGTTTTCAACCGGTGGATCAGCCCAGTTCCCACAGCCCCCTGCGGGGGCTCTTACTGTGTTTGGTCAACCCCTGAACCCAATGCCTGGAGCCTTTAGTGGTCCCCAGGACTCTCATGACCCCTGTCCCCATTCTCATCCCCAGTCCCAAGCCCTGCACCCCAGCACCCACCCCATGTCCCCATCCCATGCCCACCTTGTGAGGCCCCAGCTCCAGGGCCATGGCTTTGGTTAGCGCGGTCATTGCCCCCTTGGTGGAGCCTGTTGGGAGAGGGAGGGTAGCACAGGGAACCCCTTAGGAGTAGGCTTCTTTGGGTCAAGGCCCGGCCCTGGAGCCCGGCAGCTCCTGCATGGAATGGGCGTTCCAGGCTGAGCAGAGGGACTCACTGTAGGCAGCTAAGTTGGGAAAGGAGATGTGAGCCACCAAACTGGAGACATTGACGATGGAGCCAGGTGCTCCGCGGCTGATCATGCCACGGGCCACTATCTGGAGGCCAAGAGAGGGCAGCCTAAGGTCTCACCTCCCCAAACTGGGCAGTCAGCGCCAGGCCTTGCCCTCCCACCGGCTCACCTGGGACACCTGGAACACTGAGCGCAGGTTCACACTGAAGGACCTGGGGAGGAGCAGACCATCAGGTGGACGGTGGCCACCTCAGCCTCTGCGCCCCCCTCCCCAGCCCACCTGCTCTCCCACTGCCCACCTATCAAAGACCTCCTTGGTGGTCTCCAGGAAGGGCTGCAGCAGCGCCACGGCAGCATTATTCACCAGCAGGTCCACAGGGCCCACGCTGCCTAGCGCCCGCTCTGTGGCCTCCCAGTCACCCAGGTCCACGCACACAGGCTCCACACCAGGGCACTGTGGGGAGGCATTGAGCAGTGACCAAGGTGATGGATCCTGGTAGGTTCTGAGGCCCCCAGAGGGTGTGGGAGCAGGCCCAGGCTGCAGTGGGGTTGCACACCTCACCTCCTTGGAAAGGCTGACCAGGTCTGCATTGGTGCGGCTCACAGCCACCACTCTGGCTCCCGAGGCATGTAGGGCCTTCACCGTGTCCCTCCCAATGCCTGCAGGGTTGTACCAAGCAGGCCTGTGTCCCACAGGTTCTGGTCAAAGGAGGCCCCCAAAGAGTAGTTCCTTCCCACTTGTCCTGGAGAAGAGGACACCACATCCACCCAGCCTGAGTCTGAGAGCTGTTCTTTCAGGCAGATTTGCATTGACCAGGGAGGGGATAATGTCCTGTCCCCATGGGGCCAGCTGGGTGGTGGGGAACAGCCCACATCCAGGCCCAGGGCCTGCAGTGGGTGGATGGGGGGACAGTTGCTGGCAGGGCAGTTTGTGACAGGCACAGAGGGACTCTTGGACCTGAACACGGGCCTGTGAAGCTTCAGGTCTGGTCGCCACACCCCCACCTGCCACTAACACCCACCTTTCCCTGCTCCTGTCACCAGGGCCCTCAGGCCGCCGAAATTCAGCTGCATGGTGCTGATTCCAAGCCTCTGTCTAACCAGAGAAGAGGGTGTGGAGGTTTTAAAAGCCTGGGATGGGGTGTGTGTGAGCCAGAGACACAGAGGCTGGGGGCGGGGCACCAGTGCGGCCTCTGCTTCCTTGTCCCCAGGAATCTGCTCCACAGGAAGGGGCCACCTCCCTCACCCACAACCCAAAGGAGCGGACTAGAAGCTCTATTCAGGGTTTGGGGAAAGAAAAATAAATCCTGGGGTGGGGAGCATGCCCCAGCCAGCCAGACCCGAAGCTGATCCCAGCCAGCCCTGGGCTGTGTGCCCCCAGGTGATGGCTGAGGGTGCACTGTGCTTGGAGCTGGGCCTGACCCCACCATGGCCCCAGTCTGCAAGCCACTGTGGCCTCCACAGCCTTTTCCACCTTCCGCTAGCCAGCCTAGGACTCCCACCTTCTGGCCTCTAAGCACAGTGCTTGGCTGTGCACACAGGTGTGGACCCCCGGCAGCACCCTTGTTCCCTGTCACGTGTGACTACAAGGGTATATAGGAGTCCTTTCTCTCCCCATCAGTGCCCCCAGGTTCCCCTCCCTCCCTGCCCTGGAACTTCATTTCAGTGAAAAGCAGAATACTTTTCACTTCTGGGGGCAGAATACTCATTCTTTTGAAGTACACATGGGACATTCTCCTGGATAAATCATGTTAGGCCACAAAACAAGCCCAATAATATA